TCCATATGTATACTAGAGAACGAAAGAATGAGAGAAGTATGATCGATTTGTTCCTGGTGGATGACCGACTGCGAAAACAGGTGATGGATACGCGAGTGTTCAGGGGTGCTGACCTGGGAACGGATCACTATCTAGTGATTACTAGATTTAGGGGTCTGTTCGCGGGTTGGCGCTACCGGACGGCAGTAACAGAACCACAGTCGGTCTGTCGCATCCGAAGCTGGAAGCTTCAGGAAGCGGATACTAGGGACAAATATCATGCGAGGGTAGCCGAAAAGCTTGACACCATCGATGGCCGAAAAGAATGTGTAGAAAGAACATGCCAGAACCTTAGGGATGGAATGGTAAGTGCAGCGGAAGAAGTGTGTGGAACAATAAAAAGAGGCAGTAGTAAAAGAAGAGATGCATGGTGGAATGATGAAGTGAAAGAAGCTGTAAAGAAGAAGAAGAAAGCATGGTTAGACTACTTGGCCTCTAGTAATGATAAGGATATGAGAGAGAAGATGAAAGAAAGATATAGGCTGCAGAAAGTTCACACGAAAGCACTGATTGAGGAAGTGCGTGAAAGGTGTAGAATGGAAGCAGACGAAAGGTTGTCGCACAACTTTAAGGAGAACTCCAAACTCTTCTGGAAAGAGGTTGGAAGGACCCGAAGTGGTGCGACGGCCTTAAGAATGAACAAAGTGCTTTCGAGAACTAATGACGTCCTCTCAGAAAAATCGGACGTCATGCAGCGATGGAGCGAATTTTATAGAGAAATGTATGCGTGTGATGATCTTAGTGAGGGATCCGGGGATGACGCCGTGACTGGTACGCCAGACCCGGACCTCGATGACACTGAGGTCATCAGTATGAAAGAGATTGAACGTGCGATTCGAAGTTTGAAATGTGGTAAAGCTGCGGGACTAGACAGAGTTACTGCTGAAATGGTCAAGTATGGTGGGCCTCGCGTCTGGGACAGCTTTCATCTGCTGTGCAATTTGTGCTGGCGGACGGGGGATGTCCCGGATGATTGGCGATCCGCGGTCATTGTGCCTTTATATAAAGGTAAAGTTTCACATTTTGACTGCGGGTGCTATCGGGCGATCAGCTTGACCAGTTTAGCAAGTAAAGTTTACTCGAAGGTTTTGACACGTAGGATGCAAGAGAAATCGGAAAGATTTCTATGGGAGGCACAATGCGGATTTAGACCTGGAAGAGGATGCACGGATCAAATGTTTTCTCTCCGCATGATCACGGAAAAGCTTCTGGCTGCTAACCAGAAGATTTTCTGTGCTTTTGTGGATCTTGAGAAAGCATTTGATAAGGTTGTAAGGAAGAAAATGTGGGAACTGTTGCCGGGGTATAGTGTGGATGGTCGATTGCTAAGGACTGTGCAATCTCTTTACTGTGACTGTAAAGCCTGTGTGCGGGTAGGGCATGACCTGTCACCCATGTTTAGCGTCCAAACGGGCGTAAAGCAGGGTTGTGTCATGTCTTCCTGGCTGTTCATACTGTATCTCGACAGCTGTTTACAGAAGCTGAAAGATAGCTGTTTGGGTGTGAAATTGAGTGACATTAAAGTAAATTGTCTGCTGTATGCTGATGATGCAGTGCTTATTGCACCATCAGAGGCAGAACTGCAGGCATTAGTCACGTGTATGAAAGAGGAATGTGAAATTAAAGGTCTCCGTTTGAATGCTAATAAAACTAAGGTTCTGGTATTTGAAAGGGACGAAGAGAGAACGAAGTGTGAAATATGGGTAAATCAGGAATGTCTAGAACAGGTAAATGAAATTGTATACTTGGGGAGTGCTTTTAGCCGGGATGGAAGATGTGATTTAGATGTGGACAGGCGTGTCGCTGCCGGGAACAAAGTCAATGGTGCCCTGACTGCGTTAGTCAAAAGGCAAGGCGTAGCGAAGAGTGCACGCCTTGCAATACATAACGCAGTGTTGGTACCGACTTTGTTATATGGCAGCGAAACCTGGGTATGCCAGAAGAAGCATAAAAGTAAGTTGAATGCAGTGGAGATGCGATCTCTTCGTAAAATGTGCGGCGTTACCATGGCCGACCGAAAGCGAAACGAAGAGATTCGCAATATGGCAGGTTTGAAAGATGACCTTATCACAAAAATTGATAAGGGCGTGCTTCGGTGGTTTGGGCACGTTGAGCGAATGAGTGAAGACCGAATGGTGAAGAAAATATATAGCGCGAAAGTTAATATTAAAAGGTGTCGAGGTAGACCGAGACTAACTTTCGAAGACCATGTGAGCAAATTGCTCGAAGAGGGTAGGGTCAAGAGTACTCGGATACCTAGACGTGCATGCATGAAGAAGATAATGAATCTGAAAGAAGCGAAAGAGGTTTGTAAGGATCGTGACACTTGGCGATCTGTTCTCTCTGGCTACCCCGTCAGGGATTGTGCGTGAAGATAAAAAAATCCTAACGATATACTTTATGAACAACTATATTATGATCTACCTTTACGATTTGTATCCACTTCGCCAAAAAGAAAACATTTAGAACGAAATAACTCCGCGATCCATTAAAAATCAAGTTGAGGTGATTAAAATTTTTAACACGTTAAAAGACACAGAAGGCAAATTCTGCTTTTTAGGTGCATTACCTTCCAATGCAGTAAAGTCAGTTTCAGTTTTATCAAGATTTAATGAAAAGCCTTCATCTTTATCAGTCAGAATTTATCTAGTAGAACTGGAGCCTATACAAAATAACTTTTTAACTAGAATGAATGTTTCCTAACATACCTTGACGCTGTTATTTTAATTACCATTTACATTACCATTACAGCATATCAAACGTAATAGACCTCCGCCATAGATTACCTTATAAGGAAAATATTTGCCATAGTTGCCACTGGCAAGCGGTTTGGCAACCGCAATTGTTTTTATTCAGCTGTTATCAGGAAATTGCTACATTCCTGTTGCAGATTAACTCCGATGCCTCTTACGACACCCGAGGGATGATATGGGGCAGTGGATATTCTTACAGCGCCACAACACGGTTTATTAATTATTTATTTTTAGTAATCATGTGATGGCCATTTACTGTGGTGTACACAAATTAATTCTATGACTTAACAACTTTAGCTTTTATTACAGGAATAGAAATAAATAAGTAAAACATAATTTTCGAATGCATAATGTCTTTATTAGCAAAACAAAAAAACGTTGATTAAAATACATGTTTTAAACTAAGTCTTAACTTCGCGAAAAAGACTGAATAATATATTATTTATGTTTGATTGTATTGAATAAGTTAATACTAAAATTCCTGTGACTGCAACAAATTATGCATAGAGGACAAATTATTTATGAAAACATTAAAGACATTAAAGTAATATTTTCCAAATCTACAACACACTGATCTTTTTATTAATTTAAATCTACGCACATGAAATACATAGACAGTCCTTGCTAAGTAAGTTACGCAATAATCAAAGGTACAGAAATAAAATTAGACGTACAAAATAGAAGAGAATTATCAAAAAGATGGTTGTATGTAGCATGTACCACCTTAGTTTTGGCTGTAGAGTTGCGGGCATATATTTAGCAAATAGTAATTTGCTAGTAAATGAGAATATAGAGGAGACCTGTCGATGTTAACTAAAGACAAGACCTTTACTAATAAACCGTTGTAAAAATAATTCTAAAAACTCAAACAAACAATTTTGAAACATCTTATTATAAATCATATTAGTTATACAGAGTTATTTTGTAATAACCAGCCAAATTTGCAAAGAAGGTTCAGAATAAGTAATATAGGCAAATGGTGAAAAAAAAATCTCAAACATTCTGTCCTTTTTTTTAAATTAAAATGCGTGATAATGCGTGATAATGCATTATTTGAACTAATTTTACTGTGCACACACACTCGTAAGGGTCGATCGGTAGGCAAAAACGTGAATTGAATCACTCAGAAAAGCGCGCCTACGCGTAGTTTTTACCGATAAATCACATTCACTTTGGGAAAGTTTAAATAATAAAAGTAGAAGTAGAAATTCCCGACGTTTCGAGCACTTTACGCACCCATGGTCACGGGGTCATACACCTCAGCCCCCCAAACCCCCCCCCCCCTCCCGGTGACCATGCTGTAAAGTGCTCGAAACGTCGGGAATATAAAATAAGGTAATATACGCCATAAAATCCGTCGAAAGTTTTATTTAAATGTGTAGTGTTCTCGTAAATATAAGAAATCATTAGAAACCTTATTTACTCGTATTTTAAAAAACTGCAATAACGGTATATTATTATTTACATATTTGAACTTACGTTTAAAATTTGGCTATTCTGAAAAATAACCCTGTATACATAAAATAATTAATTATAAATATATATAAAATAATTAATTCTATTACTTATTTCTAAAAATACAAAGACTTCTATTTATTCTACTAGACCGGCAATTCAGAATAAAAACTGTCAGCTGTGGACCGCGCGACCCGGGCGAGGTGAGGAATATGCCCGCTGCATAAGCGTGGCGTATTTATCGCAAAGCTTACGCAGATGCGGCTCTTAAATGATTGGTGCCTTTTTCTTGTCTATCTCTCAGAGTTTTCCGCGTTATCAATATATTAAGTCAATGTAAATAAATCTAATACACTTTTTTTTTATTTACCTAATAGTTATGTTAGTTAGTTCGAGGGTGGGGTAAAGCATTATGATATTTTTTTTTTCATATTTATTATTTATTATTATATCTATAGATAGACAGCCACTCAATAATAACGCAATGTAAGAGCTAATTTTCGGACACATGGGGACAGTATATACTTTATAATTTGTTAATGTATAATTCTACAACTGCAGATTTTGTTTTATTGTTAATTACACTTTCCACAGGAATATTTGATTTTAGTTTTGTTTACTGTTCGTTGATTTTATAATATCTTTTGTTTTTGTTTTTTCTATACCTTCGTCCAGATTTGTTCCATAAAAATCTCCACGAGTGTTTAGAGCACACTGTAGTATATATAGAAGTGTTTGTAAAAATTATAATTTTTACACGAAAAACATTCGGCTGAAATCAAGCATTTTTTTCAAAACGTGTAATCTCTTGGGACGTCTCTCCAGCTCATCATTGTTGAATGTATCACCACTGTAAAAAAAAATGTTTTACATAAACATTAATATTAATAATAATTAATAATGCTCATAAATAAAGCAGACATCTCCTGAATATCGATGATATACTCAAAAATTATAGAGGTATTATTTTAATATACATAATTTGTTGCCGGAACTGTCAGTAAAGTAAAAAAAGTACAGCACAGAATTTATTTCTAATATCGTTCTACTATTGAACATAAAATAGTTCACTTTTAATGAGATACAAAGAAAATACATTATGATATTATAACATCCACCCCTAGAAAGATATAATCATACATTATTAACTATACATATTACCACAAAATAAACGAAATCACACTTAACGTAAGTATACCTAAAGTTTGCTTTTGAACATATGATATTGCAGTTTTTTCTGTCATAATAACAATAACGTTTTTTTTTAATACAGTTGCTCAAAAAGTGGCGTATTGCAGAGACGTATAGCGTTCGGGATGTGGGCTATTACATACTCGAGCTTGTTTTTTACCTTTTCCGAACTCGTGCGTTCTCTTTCCCAACTGTCAAAATAATGTCTATTAAAAAGAAAAAACCAACCACGACGTTTTTACTAAAAAAAAATTCATGGAACTTTTTATGATTCATGAAAATATTTCTAAAAAGAAGCTACTAATTTGTTTCAATATTAGATTTAATGATTTGATTCAATGAGTTAGGTTAAGTTTCATTTCATTTCATCTGATTAAATTTCATTTTCATTTCATATCAATTAAAAATTCTACTGAAGACTTGGCTGTATGGGCATAGTTCCCTTTGCCTACCCAGAATGGGTGAAGAAAACAAAAAGAATCTCTGCTTATATTCTTTTACGGTTGGCGCCATTTTCCAAAAATGTTCTTTACGAGTTTAGTTGTTTGTTGCACAAAATGAGTAATTTCGACGATATTTTATTTAAATTAACACCACCGGAACTCAGTATAATTGCACAAAATGCTTCGGAGAACATTTTACCGGAAAAGTCAAAAGTCGCTACATATCTACGTATGACGAATTTATTGCGTGGAGAGAAGAGAAAAAAGCAAATAGTTTTTCAGAAAATATTATGTTGGCAATACTTCTCCGAACTCTTAGCAAAATTAAAACCTTTTACGTTATGGTCGAGGTTTTCGATGATAAAAAGTAAGCTGAAAATAAGGAACAACGTGGATATAAGTGAATACCCAAAACTAAACGCTTTCTTAAAACGACAATCAGACGCTTTTACAACTAAAAAGTCGAAAATATTAACATCGAATGAAGTGGAAAGGTTTTTGAATGAAGCTCCCGATGATCGTTATTTAGCCACAAAAGTAATTTATTAATAAATAATTATATTTTTCTTTAGTATTCAGTTTACGAAATCGCAAAATAGTCAATATATTATTTAAAAAAATATTAATCAATTCCCTTTTTTTGTAGGTTGCGCTGACTTTTGGCGTTGTTGGAGCTTGCAGCAGAGAGGAGTTAGCCAATATTACTTTAAAAGATATTGAAGCCCATGGAAAAATGCTACTAATCAAGATTCCGAATACAAAAAATAAGCTTAGAAGCAAAAGAGAAGCTTTGTTGTTGAAGGAGATTTCCTTAGAATAGTGCAAAAATATATGAATCAGCGGTCCCAAAAAGCAAAAACCGACCGTGTTTTGCAAAATTATCAATAAGGAAACTCAAGCAATCGGGATAAACAAATTTAGTAATATGACAAAAGAAATAGCTACGTTTCTTGGTCTGCCGGATGCTGAGTATTATACTGGGCACAGCTTTAGGAGGACCTCTGCTACATTATTGGCAGATTCAGGAGCCAATTTGACGTCCTTAAAGCGACTAGGAGTTTGGAAGTCAGACAAAGTTGCAGAAGGCTATATTGCTGATTAATTAAACAACAAACTAGAAACTGGGAAAAAAATCACACAATCAATTAATTTAAAGTCCAGTCCGTCTCCTTCACATGACAATACTGAAGAGAACGTTCGTCCATCTATCTTCGTTGATAATGATAATTCATCAGATCCAATTCCATCAACTAGCAAACGCAGTTGTATAACACCTTTAACAAATATACATGAACAATCATACGAAATTAATAATAGTTCGTCTCAAACAGTAAATATGCAACCTAAAACTTCCCCAGTTAGTATAAAAAACTGTACCAATTTCAATGTATATGTGTTATAACTTATATAAGAAATAAATGATTAGTTAGTTGAGTTTATTGTGTTTTTATTATTTTATTAAATTGTTTCATTTTTTCGCAACTGTATTAAAAATAGTTGTTCAGTACACGTGCGGAACCGTCATTGCAACTTGTTCCGACTGACATTTGTCGGAACTCTTTGCAATGACAGGCTTTCCGCACTCGTAATGAAATATACTATTTGCCGTAGTTAATTCCTAGTTCCTTACCTAGTTAGAATTTTATATATTAGTCTATGGTTAGAATCATTTTCTACCGACTTCAAAAAGGAGGATGTACTCAATTCAACTATATGTTTTTTTTTGTGTGTTTGTTACCTCATAACTTTTTTCTGGGTGAACCGATTTCGATGATTGTTTTTTTTATTTGAAAGCTGGTGCTTTTCATGTGGTCCCATATAAATTTGAACAAGGTCTTTTTTATAGGATAGGGTGACAAACGAGCACACAGTCCACCTGATGTTAAGTGGTTGCTGTGCCCCATAGACATCTACATCTATCCTCGTTTGCGAATCAAAATGCAGATGCGCTAGATGGAATGCCTGTTTTCCAGTAAAATGGGTCTCCGGTTCTCTACACTCACCATACGAATCACAGTAGTTTTAAGGTGCTATTTTACGCTGGTTGTTTTACGCAGGTCTGGCCAATAGTTTCTGAGTTTTTCTTAATAATTCAATATTAAATTCGGTTGTAAAACATTTTAAATTTTAAATTATAATACTTAAGTTATGTTCTTGTACTAATTGTATGTCCGATTGAATAGAATTACGGATGAAATTTTTTATTAGTGCGGAAGTACAACAAATGTATGGTTGTGTAAGATTTAACAAGTGTGTTTTTTTCGTATAGTACTTTTGCCAACAAAAATTAGATAATGATCGTGAAATAAATGTTTTGATAATTTTGAATAGTATAGTTTATAGTTAACAGTAGCGCTTGATACTCCTATGTTAATTAGACATTTGTATTTTTAATGATAATGTTGATATCAGATCGTAAACAGTATTTTTGTACTTCTGTGGGTTTCTTCACAATAGCTGAACCAATTTAGTTGTGATTTTCAGTAATTTATTGAAGATAAGCTCATATTGTATTCAATATTCTAAACACTAATATTAAATAGTATATATTAGTATCTATAGTTGTAATCAATATTTAACTGTTGTAAGCACGAGTCGTAAGCAGCCTTGACATGTGCAAAAGTCGTTTTATAGATCTTTTTGGTGAGAGTAGAGGTAGGTAGGTGCGCGAGGTGGTTACAGTGAACATTATTTCACGTGATTGGTGCATTAGTTAATCTTCGTCATTGCAGTATATTGGCTGGAAAATGTAAATGCGCAAATGCTGTCACTTGGTGCTCACGACTCACACACAAACACACCCACGGACGCACACACGAACAAGCACACGCACACGCACACCGGTAGATAAGTACGCAGTACTCAATACTCACTAGGTGAGCGACTTGGCCCGCAGGCAGGCGAGATGCGCGTAATAGGTGGGCGTGGGGTAGGAGACAGCACGCGTGCAGCGCGAGTACAAGTGGCACAGGTAGTACGTGAGCTGCTCCACCTCGTCCAGCGGGATGCTGCCGTCATTGCACACGGCGTGGTAGCGCGTCGGCCGGGCCGTGCCCTTTATAGCGTGGTGGGACACCTGCGGATGCAATCATTATTGGAGGCTGAATAACGAACGAACAAGTCTTTAATGGTCTGTCTGATTTTCTGACTGTCTATATACATATATACAGGGTTATTTTTCAAAGATTAGCCAAATTTGAAACGTAAGTTCAAATATATAAATAATGACATACCGTTATTGCAGTTTTGAAAATATCGAGTAAATAAGGCTTCAACTTTTATTTGAGATTATCCCAAATTGAATTTGATTTATGGGCAACAGCGTTTTTGCCTACCGATCAACCCCTACGAATGTGTGCGTGCATAGTAAAATCAGTTAAAATAATGCATTACCACGAATTTTGAATTTAAAAGATAAAAAGGACATAATGTTTGAGATTCGTTTAATTAATTTTTCTTAACCATTTGCCTATATTTCTTACTCTTTCGTTTTCTTATTTAATCTGTAATTAAATAAACGTTTTCTTTGACGGCTCTCTAGTAAAAAAATTTAATGAATTTAAATCAGGTGAACGGGCTAGCCAGGAGATTGTACCAAAGCGTCCTATGCATGTGTTGGGATATTCTTCGTCGAGATATTTTCTCACTGAGCGGCCCTTGGGGTTCATAAAAATAATTTTAAACAGGTAAGGAAAATTAATTTACAACTAAGACTATTTAAAAAAAAAACAATAATTTAACAAATAATCTTGCAAGTGTTATACCATTTTGGAATCCTTATTAAATGCGCCAACTTTTAAAGTTACTTACAAAACTCGTGTAGTACATTTTTTTTCAGTAGAATCATTTAAAGCTGGATAAGTATTAATTTAGAATATGGTTGGGAAAAAATTACATTTCCTTCTGAACTGGAGCAGTTGGCTGTAAATTTTAAGCAATAGTTTTCAGGATTACATAGTAAAAATTAGTAAGCAACAGGAGTTTAAAGATCGTCACAGGTTGTAGACTCTCGATTTTTTTTGAATGCCTGTAATTTTTAAAATGCGTAGCCAATTTTTTTAATTTTTTCTGTGAACTACACTTGACCTATCACCGATTCCAGCTTGACGTCGACTTCTGTGACAACCTATATTTACAGGGTTATTTTGCAATAACCGGCCAAATTTGCTAAGAAAGTTCAGAATAAGTAAAATAGGCAAATGATGAAAAAAATTTATTAAAAAAATCTCAAACATTCTGTCCTTTTTATCTCTTAAATTCAAAGTGCGTTGTAATGCATTATTTCAATTGATTTTACTGCGCACACACACATTCGTAAGGGTCAATCGGTATACAAAACGTTGATGCCCATAAATCACATTCAATTTGACAAAACAGACAAAAGCTTCCAATTGACCTGCAACCTTAAAAAGTGTAAAGCCCTGTAATACTACTTAATGAACTTATATTTGTGGTCTAACTGTAGATGTGGATCTGTATACATTATCGACCACCTATAAAAATGTCAATTTAAGAAATGATTAAAGTGTCTCTTTTCACTAAATGACAATATAAAGGGACAGGTATACAGGTAATTAATATGAAATTTAAGTAAGCGTAATTTCAAGCATGAATGCTTGTTAAATAAGATATCAAAATATATATTTATTAATAAACTTGTATTCAAATAAATTTTTAACACTTAAAGTTTTTAAAATTGAATTATTATAAAGAAATATAAAGGGATTCTAACTATCATCGAATCTGGTTAAAATTTATTGTATGGGCAGGCCTGTCTCACTCCAGGCTTTAGGCATAAAAACATACCTACGCTGCGCGCGCGGCCACCCAAGAGAGCCTAATACAGTGAGGTTGTCACGCGCGCGCTCTAGCTGACGCGCGCCTTACGTTAACAAAGAAGTATTTTTCTCTTATACGTATTTAGACACTTTTGATATTTATTTTAATATATTAAAAATAAAATTATTTTAATCTCTAATAAGTATTTAGAGATTAAAATATTTTTTATGTTAACTCTAATCAGTATTTAGGCACTTGATATTTATATTTGATTTTATTCAAGTATGGCCTCTCAAAAAGCCAAAAGGTACTGGCATAGCATACCCGTGCTTAAATAACAATAGGAATCTCGACTTTTCATTCTTTACTGTTCCTACGGATATCGAAAGGTAAGATATTATTATTTATAGGTATAGTTACAGATTTATTATTTGATTAGCGACCCGGCCACAGCTTCGCAGTTTTCGATTTTTTCGCGTATAATATCAATGACTTAAAAAAACGTTCAGTGTAAGTAGATTCAATTTGTTTTCTCATAACACCTAACCCTATAGTAGGAGCTGCCTTAACAAAGGCGCGTAACGGGCTAAGTGATACAAGACTCTCGCAAGCAGACGTAAGGTGCACATTGATTTAATACGCGCCCGGAACCATCAGTAGGCTATTTTAACGAAAGTCGCATACGAGGCATGCAAAGTATTATGAACTTTAGCAACATTGTATTAGGTTGTTGTTATTAGATTGTAAACTCGAAAATGTGCTATCAGAGAGTGATTCTTCTATAATTGTACTATTATCCATTCTGTGTTATGTTATGACTGTGGAACATAAAACATTAACATAATCAGCTAATTATGGGATTATGTGCATAAAAGTAAACTATAATTTGAAATCGGTTCAAAAATAGTCAAAAAAGCTTACCAAATAAAAGTCGAGCTCCTTCGGGTGCACGATATGCTTGTCAACAACAGTACCAGGTTCAACGTTTTGAGCATTCTCAGCATGAGAGAAGAATCTAAACAAAGAAGTCACTCAGTGGTCAATGTATAAAATAAATCGTTGCCTATCTATATATATGAAACTATACTAATGTTAAACACAACAGGCGGCATCCTGTTTCCTCATTTTATTGCACTGTGGGCAGAGTGTTTGACATTAGTATAGTGTGCTTGCTTATAGTAAAATTTTATACCTAAGCATTTTGTACATCATACGCACAAGTACTATTATACCTAAGCATTTTGTACATCATACGCACAAGTACTACTCCTTTACAAGTATATGATTCAGTCTGCCCTTTGTTAACCTTTTTATATAGGTTTACAATTACATCATCCAACCCTAAACAGTCCATTGCTAGACCATGGGTTTCCCACAGTGGGGAGGACTTACCATTTACATCCACTATTGAAAGGCTGATTGTCTATCGCAGTGTCTAAGGTTTTTCACCTACGCCGTTAGAATCTAAGAAATGGTTAACTCATTTATTAAAGATCTTTCTTTGCCTATCTCAGTGCCAGTTTGACGCTATACTGTAATGAATGACGGAATTATTTTGAAGTTAAAGTTACAAACAAATTAATAACGGATTTTCGCACACCGTGGTATCGAAATTTGTTACATATCTCCGAATAACTGGTAATTTCAAAGTAATTTATGAGCATTAGAGTAGCAGTCTCGTACCGGTAAGCAAGGCGGACTAGATGGAGTGAAGAGCTGGTAAGACAAACAAGATGTCAATGGTTGCAGGTGGCTCACGACAGTACTTAGATGATGATGATTATAACGATAATAAGTTATTTGATGGCTTGGTAGTGCAGAGGCTAAGCATTTAGTTGCGGCGCTACAGGGCCGTAGGTTCGGATCCCGCATGGTACAAGTAATTGTATGACTTAAAGTAATTGTTCTGGTTTAGAATGTTCAATTTATGTTCATATGTAAAAAAATACAGAATACCTAGTATGATGCCTCTTCTGTACTAATAAGAAAAGCACTTCAGGTTTGTCCGCTTTCCCAGTCAACCTTTGATATGCTTTGTATACAGCTGATAGTTCGTAGTTAATCACCTGGGAAGAAGCAAAAAAAATCATACTTTTACTCTTTTTTTATTTTCAAATATGTATTTTGATGTATTTACAAAATATTTAAACGTGGTAGACCCATCCCGCAGCTATGTATGGTTGCAACACGACTTAGCTGTCAGCTTGAAGCAGCTCGATCGAAGGAGCACACTCTCACATAATACCAGCGTAAAATACATTTCAACTACACATTAATATATAAAACAAATCTAATATACCCCACCAAATACACTATTGAAAAAGGAATATTTCAAATTAACCAAAATTCACTGTTTATTCAGTCAACCTGTCAATAATTATTTGCTGGCTTCATTTTAAAACTCTTTGGCGACAATCACTACTCTGGGCGATTATTTGATCACAGTTTTAACATCATACAATATTATGGAGTGTAAAGGTAAGGAGAACCATCTTTGTGTATGAATAAGTGTCCGTAACAACGCGTCCAATAAGGTTGACGCTGCGGTAGCATAAGATAAATTTTAAAGAAGGCGCCAAAAGTAATTGGAATAAGATGGAGAAATAAACAAGGACCGTCCAATTTCCGCTAATGTAATGCGGAAAATTTGAGAGAATTACAAGTAAAATATGTAATTATTTTATCTTGTTAAAAATGTATTTGTTGAAAGAAAAATAACAATGGGATTTTATAAATAAAATGTAAATCGTAAAATGCCATCAAAAACATAACTTGTAAAAAAACTTGGCCATCGCATGAAAACACAATGTATCTCTCAAGTAATACATTTTATATTAAATTAGATTGTTTAGTGGGATTGCCAAGTCTATTTATTTATTTAAAACATAAAAGATTTTTAATATTGATACGGTCACTATAAGATGTTATTAAGTTAGTTAATTACGTAATAACTTAAGACAGAAGGACCCTTAAGTAGGGACTGAATAAATTAACCGACTTGGTATTACATGGATCTCACAACTTTTTACGGTAGAAGAACTGAGTTGCGAGACTTGTTTTTTTTTACATGTTTTTGATGGCATCTCATTTCTTTTTGTAGATAGTTATATCTAGGTACCGATCTACATCTATTATTCCATTATATTATACATATATAGGTACACTGATTCATTCACTGCAAATGTAACTTTGTAATCCTATATATTTATATGGGATTACAAAGTTATTTATGCAGTTGCTGTATCTCGAAAACCGGACTGAAATTGCAAAATATTTTAATTTTTCCTTGATTTATATACTAAACAATAATTGTATTCCAAATTTGAAGCTTCTATGTCTGCTAGAAGTCTAGAAGTGCCTTAGAGTTTTGATAATCGGTCAGTCAGTAAGTGACAAAATTAAGAAACTTTGACTAGTTATAATTCTTAAACTACTGGTTCAAATTTAATGAAATTTGAAATATACCGAGTTTATACAATGCCTACTTGGTCTCATTCAGGTTCAGGCTTCTAGTTTTATCCACAACGAAGTTATAGGGTTTCTAAAATGGCCTGAACTGCTTCGAGAAAAGGATGGTACGGCCGTGCCGCTTTTTTGCTCGACTTGGCGGGGGCACTGCCGTGCCCCCAGATAAATCAACAAGCAGGTTAAACAGATACTCAACGATTTATATTATTAAATTATATAAATAAACGAATACATCTTCAACAATAGTTATATTTTATAACAATAGTTAGTTATTGTTCAATTATTTTAAACATTTTATAACTATCACCACCGTAAAATCACTAAAAATTATTTAAAAAAAGTCACACTAATAAAGTCACGATATCTCACAGCAGCTTTTTGGTTATATTTACTAAATTATTTTAAACTACGTGAATAGTTGAGGTTTTGTATACTGGCATTTTACTAACTACTCTAGTCAAGAAAATTTTTAAATATCTGAACTCAGCACACTTCACTCCGTCTACAACAGCTATGTTCATATCGTAGTTTATTCAGACGCCAGCGCTATTCTGGTGGGTACTGGAACCTCTATTTTCAGTATATCGTTGGACACTTTTTCAACTTTCCCTCCCATATGAGTCGGTTCTCCTTACCTCTACACTCCATAATGCATAGGTATTATACGCGACAGATCGACATGGCAAACGGGGTATGAGCTGAGGCGCGGGGGAGGTGACACCCCGCATACCCACACCGCGTTATCGATTTCGATCTCGCTCACATTGTTGTGTGTTGTTGTGTATTAAAATGACTTCGGTCGCTTCCTCGTCAAGTGTTAAACCAAATAAACTAATAATTCATTCTCAAGCCCGAGAACTACCCAGAAAAGTATTAGAAAAAAATACTAAACAGAAAAGTATTTATTGAACTGATAAACAATTATTATAAATATCCTGTCAATCAGACATTGGATAGGGCTGCGTGGTACACCGGCTTATCGAAAAGAACTTTGCCCAGAATAAAATCCGAATCAAGACTATAATTTAAATATTTCAGTCAATAGACATACCTGATCAAACTGCCCTTCTGACACACCATCACGAAATACATATATCTTTCTGGGTAATACATTCAGACGCTTCCGAAAAACTTGCATATGCTCAACCATCATGTCTTCGAAATCCACGATTATTTCTTTCTGCAATTCATTGATTTTAAAACAATCGTTAAAAATTTAAAAATACAACAGAATTGTCACGAGTTTTAACAAACGTCACAACATTGTTTTTGTTATACATACCTTGGGAGACTGCACACATAGTTCAATGTTGTACACGAAGCATTTTTGATCAATTGAAGCAGTGACTGCTGCAATACTAGGTATACTTGACTGTAATGTGAAAAATAAAAATTTGTACTTTTAAATAAGTTAGGCAATATCCATTCTAGCTTTAAAAATTATATTCGGATATGGCAATATCAATTATAACATACGCTAATTTGCAGAAAATATTCATATTATTAGATACTTCCTCATGACTCGATCTGTCTATTCAGAAATCAGAATAAAAATCCCGAAGGTAGTTTCGGAAATTTTCGCCAACATATATACATAAATAGAGATGTGGTGGAGGTCTCCAATTTATAATATGGATTGTGATAAATAATAAGTAAGGATGCGAGGAGCGTCACGCTTCAGGTTGTTTTCTGTGACCAAGACGCACGAGCTGATAGAGCGAAGTGGGATTCTGTTCTGATATCGAAGAGAACATTCAAGCATGTCACGTAATCGCCTCTTACGACACCCACAAACGAGACAAAATTGGGTGATGGGTCATCTCACACCCACACCACACGGTAAGCAAATTAAAATCTTAATTATTTAGGCTATTATGTGAATGCCAGAAAGATCTCATGGTTTCCAATAGATGGGAATATTACCATCTCGTTAAAGCCAGACGTAAAAAAGACACCGTAGAGGGGAAGCAGTCATAGGGTACGAGACATCGGGCAAGGCATTTGCATATCCGCCTGCCAAGTGTGGCAATTAGGTCAAATCTTATACTACCTACAACTGGAGAGTATACAACAGTGAACTGATTAATGAAGAATAAAAAACTAGGCACAAACTCTCCAATAATTTCCAATGCGCTAACCCTGCCACACTCTCATATGTCATGTATTTTGGTGAATATGTGCCATTTTTGGAAACAAAAAATATTTTAATACATTGTAAAAGTAGCCGTGGTATTTCAGATGGCTAGCGCTCGCTGTAAGCTTCACAGTACTCGAGCAATCCGGGTTCGAGCAATCCGGGTTCGATCCCCGCCGGCACCAATGAAATTGTTAATTGCAATTTTAAGTGCTGACTTACCACGTGCTCGGCGATGAAGGAAAACATCGTGAGGAAACCCGCATGTCTGAGAAATAAGAAAAAAATATTTTCGAAGAAGTTCGCCAACACGCATTGGGGCAGCGCGGCGGACATTTCCTTGCCCTAAAACCCCCTCAGAAATGAGAGGAGGCCTGTGTACAACAGTGGGACGTAAATAGGCTACAACTTTACTTTTACATTGTAAAAATTTGTTAAGCATTTAAACATAATGTGCCTTTTTACAATAGAGTTAGTACTTGTTTGATTTTGGTCATTGGGATATTCTGTTATGATAAATGAAAGTTGGTAAACAACCATCTGACCTGGTCTGGGGAAGGATGTGTGACATCAGCTCCAACTATCATTACTGGGGCGCCTTTGAGACACGCTGGTATACTGCGTCCATCTAATGCTTGATTTAAACCCATTAACTTGGCGTTCACCTGCAATAATCAGTATAAAAGATAAAGCTGCAATAATTAGTATAAAAGATTTTGTGAAAAGCAATTTCCTTTAAATGCCAAACTCATGTGCCAACTGACGGACGAAGTTGTGGCGATCGATGGTTTGCAGAAAATTTATCCAAAAATGTATGTATATAGGATCGAAAAAACTTGAAAATCCAAACGAACTTTAGCTGTGGTAGCTCAGGAGCTCGCCGTAAATTTTAAGCCGGCTATACATGTTGGCCAAGCGAAGGGAAGCACCAACGTATAAACAGCGCATTTGTCTAGCCTCGCCATTGCTCGTCGACGCTCGCCTAGATGGCCGAGTGCAGGCGAGCGCCAACGGTATACGGTTCGTTTGGCGTGCCTTGCCGCCACACGGGATCGCTCGCTACGACTCATCCACTTCGTAACTGTGTCGGTTTTTTAAATCAAAGACCTGCACCTGCACTCGGCAAGTCGCGTCTACATGTTAGTCGGCCTGGCCATGTCAGTTACAGCTTGGTGTCGGTCCGGTGAGATGTTGTTTTAATTAAATTGCAACTTCAAAATAATTTCGACAATGGCACTGCTTCTTTTTTACAACTTTTTTTTACAACTGCGGAGTACACTGACATGATAATTATATGCACTTTTTTTTATAGGAGTAATCGGTTCCACAAGGAAGTCGTGCGAGGAAGAAAACATCTTCCAAATCGCACAGTGGTGGACCGCCAATCATCCAGATGGTGTGGATGGTACCGGGAGTTCTGCCGCGATGTGCGTTCGTGAAATTTGGCAGCTGGGATTAATCCGAACAATTCCTCAGAGCACTCCCCATGGTAGATGCGAAATAAAATGCAAAGGGATGCAACATCTCTTCGCAGTGCCAATGAATCGAGCCGGTCGGAAAGGACTCGGTCGTCGACGATTCGAGCCGCTCTGCGCTGGATGCGGTCAAGTGGAAGGAGCTGGCACTGGGGAGCCCCTGCCCAGAGATGGGAACAGTATTCCATGTGAAATACTGTCCCGCTCTGCTGAGCACGCCAAGCATTTTAGAGGCCAATTTGGCCTCCTCTTCCAAGTGACCACGCAACTGCACGTCACTCGATATGTCGACTCCGAGGATTCCGATACTGACTGAGGCAAGAAGGGGAGTGCCTTGAAACTGAGGAGATACGACAAAGGGGTTCTTTTTAGCGGTAAACGCGCAAACTTGTGTCTTCTGAGGATTAAACTGGACTAGATTTAGTCGCCCCCAATCCGAGACTTTGTTCAACAAAGACTCTACTTCAGACACAAGTTTGTTCCGGTACTCGGCGACGTTTTCCCGAGAAATATTGGCACGCCCGGTGTATAGAGCATCACCAATGCTGTCATTCGCATGGCAATGAATGTTATCAGTTAGCAACAATATTCTATTTATTTATTTAACAATTTATGTACACACAAAGTAATGTTACAATGAAAAATAAAAATAAAGATATTTTGTACAAAGGCACTGCTTATTTCATATTGAAATTTCTTCCAGCAGACCTGATACTGGACACATTCAAAGAGAAGCGGATTTAAGCGCATTAGCATTTATCAATGATATGCAGAAGAAACAGCGTTGGTGATAGCACACAGCCTTGTGGAACACCAGCGTTAATAGGCTTGTAGTCGGAGCATGCACCGTCTACAACGACCTTGATGCTCCGATCTGCAAGGAAGCTGGTGATCCAATCGCACAATTTCTCGGGAAACCCATAGGAAGGGAGCTTCGAAAGAAGCGCTTTGTGCCAAACCCGATCGAAGGCCTTCGCAATGTCCAAACTAACGACCAACGCCTCCCCCTTGGACTCTACTGCCTCTGCCCATCTATGGGTCAGGTAGACCAGAAGATCACCAGCTGATTGACCCCGACGAAAACCGTATTGGCGGTCACTAATCAGCTGGTGATCCTCAAGGTACCGCATGAGCTGGCAGTTAATAATTGATTCCATTATTTTGGAGAACAAGGAGGTGATCGCGATAGGCCTATAGTTGGACGGGTCTGAGCGGTCGCCTTTTTTAGAGATCGGGTGGATAAAAGCTGTCTTCCATGAATTCGGGACTACGCCTTGGGAGTACCGGAAAAGACGCGTTAGGACCGGTGCCAACTCCGGATTTTCTACATACTGAGCGATGAAAGAAAACATTATACCTAGTCAGGTCATAAATTCTGTCACATGTTTAATATAAAATAATTGAAACAAGTTTATTCATTATGTAACCATTTATATACCAAAATGAACTTAACAAAACATAGATTCTTATGACACTAAAGTTTATTCAAAATGACCTCCGTAATTTTGAATACAGGCCTTCAATCTGCGCGGCCAGTCGTCTATCGCAGCACGAACGAGGTCCATGTCAATATCGGCGGCTGCCTTAATCCAGGATGTCTTGAGTGACTCCAAATTGGGATGAGGCTTTGAGCACGCCTTTTCCTCCAAGTGTTGCCATATCTTGTAATCTAACGGATTCAAATCTGGACTGGAGGAGGGCCAGTCTTCGTGCCGGAAGAAGTCGATTTCACGCGCCGCCAGCCAGTCTTGTGTGCTCTTCGCTCTATGAGCTGGCGCCGAATCTTGTTGGAATACCCAGTGCCTATTATTGAACATGGTATGAGAAACAGGTTCCACAAGGTTCGTCAGGACTGTATTTTGATACACAACTGCATTCGTTTTTACACCTTTCTCACAAAAATGTACCTCTGTTAAGCCCCAATAAGAAACTCCCAACCATACCATGAGCGAGGATGGAAAATGACCTCGTTGGACACGCGGAATACGGTTGCTCGCTTCTTCAGTACTGTGTGCGTACACCTTATCATTTCGTTTGTTGTAGCTCTCTTCTACGGTAAAAATTTTTTCATCCGAAAAAAGAATTTCCCGATATTTTTTTTCCCGCGTACCGCTTCAACAAAGCGCGGCATCTCTTCAGTCTCAGGTCCATTAGACGAGCATTCAAACGATGTCCTGTTTTTCTTCGATATGCCCGAAGCCCTAAGTCTTCATTTAACACCCTTTTCACCGTGGTTCTGCTTAACCCCATCTGAAGGGCCAACAGTTTCTGCTTACGTTTGGGATTTCTTTGAATTCGCGCCTTCACAGCTTATCACTGCTGGAGTCCTAACAGACCGAGGGCGACCACTTCTTGACCTGTCATCTACACTAGTCTTCATTGTATCGTTTGATGGTACGATAAACGAATCTTTTGGTTATATTCAAATTTTTCAGTATGTCAAAAATTTGAATTGGCGCGTAACCGCAACGATGCAACACAATAACTGCAACACGGTCTTCTTTAAGAGTCCACTCCATATTTAAAAATGAGTAAAATTCTAAAAAGTATACAGTTTTATTTTCATGAACAATTCGAAATTCGAATTCAATAAACTTTTTTGTGGCCAGCATTCTAAAAGAAAAGTTTTTACTGTGTGACAATACTTATGACCTGACTAGGTAATATGGAAGCCTGCATTTCTGAAAAATAAATATTTCAAACATAGCGCCGACACGCACTGGAGCAGCGCGGCGGACTAATAGCTCCAAAACCCACTTAGGAATGAGGGGAAGTCTGTGTCTAGCAGACAGAGACATATAATATAGGCCATTACTGTCAAGAAAATCTCAGTGCCAACCTTTTATACGTTTTTATACTTTTATACGTATTTATACGTGGTAGAGCCATGCTGCAGCTATATTAGTAGTATAGTTGTAGCGCGAATGGGTCGGTTCGACCGGGGAAGGACCACGCTCTCACGGAATACCAGATTTAAATAGCAGCTTAACACTGCTGTGTTTCGTATGGTGAGTGTAGAACCGGAGACCCTTTTTATTGGAAAAGAGGCATTCCATCTTAGTTCTCACGGGTGACAACCGATCTGCATTTTGATTCGCAAACGAGGATAGATGTAGATGTCTATGGACCACAGCAACCACTTACCATCAGGTGGACTGCACGAAAAACTGCTGATCCTGCTCCTGATCTATGTGAGAGTGAGGGAATATAGAGTGCGTCAATATTTGCGTACACTCGTACACTATCATCCTGTTCTGCACCATCTGCGCATCTGTTCGTTTCCTTTGACAATGGTAGCTGTGACCGAAATTCGACTTACCTTAAACTTTGTTAACACCATAATAGCTACAGTAGTAAAACCATAGGCACAAAAATATACGAACATACATGACTGTTTAATGCCTAATTTTAAACCTAACGGATTTTCACTTCTTATCATAAACCGTGTAGTAGTGCTATTAAAATATTCATTACCCAAACCATCCCGTGAGTGTCGTAAGAGACGACAGAGGGAAACTGAAACAGGAGATGGGCAGCATCTTCCTGATAACATATCAAAATAAACTGCACTTGCCAAGCGTGGCAACTGTGCCAAATTTACTAAACCTAACCAAACTGTTATGAATTAAACCATTTTGATTTCAGTGTGAAAACGAGCATTTCTGAGAGATACTAAATACTTCGAGGACACGATCGTCAAACACAGATCGGGACAGTACGTCAGGCTCTTTCCTGGCCCAAAACCTCTAAGAACTGAGAGAAGGCCTATGTCCACCTATGGAGATATGTGAACTGTTACTTTACATATTAATAAAATATAGGTAAAGTAACAATTAGATCTTTACGAATACCTTTAAGATACTTTAATCCTTATTATATAAAGATTAAGACATAGTAATATTTATAATTCGTGAGAACAATGTGTTAAGACCGAGTGACCTAGTGATCAGATAATCTGGATACTATGCCACGTGTTCTGGGTTTAACTCATAACATACATTTGTGTGTTCACACAAATAATTAATTTTAGATTTGATGGTGTTGCAATTGTCCCCGTATCTCTAACACTACATCAAGGCTATCTTCGGTCTCATCGCATGGGAGGTTATGTCGGGCATGGGGAGGTTAAGGGGGCGTTCAAGTATTACGTAACGCAATTTGGGGGGAGGGGGGTCTTGTAAAACGTTACGATGCGTTACAGGGGCGGGAGGGGGGTTCGACCAACGCGTTACGTAACATTTTTTCATTTTATATAAAAAAACAAGGGAATTAAAATCTCCCAAATTAGCAACCCTTTTCGTTTAGGTTGACGCCGAGGATTCCGATGCTAGCTGAGGTAGCAAGAGGAGTGCCTTGAAACTGAGGATATACCACAAAGGGGTTCTTTTTAGCGGTAAACGCGCAAACTTGTGTCTTCTGGGGAATGAACTGGTCTAGATTTAGTCGCCCCCAATCCGAGACTTTGTTCAGCAAAGACTCGACTTCAGACACAAGTTTTTGTTTGTTTTTTACATTGCATTGCCAAAGGTAAAAATAAATATTTTATTTTATTTTAAGACTTTATTTAATAAAATGTATGTAAGGAAAAGACCAAGTTAAAAAAACGGCGTAATTAAATGTAAGGTTAGTAGTAAAAGTTTATTAGGACTGATTTGAGCCCATTTTAACATATTTTAAACTTAAGCAAATGTTTATTACATTGTGTGATTGCTTATTAAATAACAATATGAATAAATAAAATAAACAATCAACAATGTATTGCGAGGAAGAAATCTCGTTTTATTTATTACTAGCTGACCCGTCGAACTTCGTACCGCAATGTTACCATCGTAGAAATATTGACAAATATTTATACGATACGATACGAAATTATATTTATACGATAATAACGTCACTCAATTGTTTTGCCTTCCCGGAACCCCTCCACTAACACTTAAACTTTATTGGTATGGTATTAAAGTTCAAATTGCCTTTTAAGTATTTTGTTTGGGAATATAGAAAAGTGTTTGTTTTTATTCTTTTTCAGGCAATTTTTTAAACTTTTCTCTCCGTAAGAACCATCTTAGTACTTCAGGGAATATTATAAAAAAAGAATTAGCGAAATCGGTTCAGCTGCTCTCGAGATTTGCGCTTAGCAACACATTCAGCGATTCATTTTTATATTATAGATTACCGCAAACGCGATTAAAACAATAAAGCTGAGAACAAATTATCGGACGCGTCCGTCAGCCGCGGCTGACAGACGCGGCTTATTTGAATCTAGCCAGTACATTTAAATCATTTAATACTACATTGTGCAAACTATCGGTCGTAAGACGCGGACGTGCCCTTGGGTCGTCCTTGAGCGTTCAGACGTCCGAACAGAATCTAGCCGGCTGGATATTTGTGCGTCCCCGGACGGTGTGCACAGGCCACGGGACGCGTCCGCGGACGTTTCGAGCGTCACAAACGAACCGACCGCGCTCGCGACATGTCAGACGAAGAAAATTTAATTGAATGTGTTCGTGGCCACATAAATACTACTTTAAAACAGGAAGTGTGTTAAACATCATTTTCAATCAGACTAAGCAGAAAATTAAATTGGTTTTCATTAATTCTTAAGTACATTTTGTAACGTTTATCATCTTTTTGTAAGTCTGGATACAATGTATGAAATTCACCATACTCGAGTCGTTTTACATTAATATCATGGACCCAAACACTCCTTTTCACTTTTTTTTTTTTGGAGTACAACATAACTCTATAAATTCGTCCTCGCTGTCGCTGCTTGTCATGTTTCTCGATTGAAACACCTTTATAGAATGACTGAAGTGAGGCGTCCGAAGACGCCGTCTTAACTACCGTGCACACCGCTAAGCCGCGACTGTCAGCCGCGGGTTAGCCGATAATTTGTTCTCAGCTTAACAAAGTTATTTTAGCGACTTTCCGGTAATTTGCGCAAAGTAATTGTGACTTTTAGGTAAAAATGGTCACTTGGGTGTTACGTAACGTTTAGAGAGGGGGAGGGGGGGTTCTAGATAAACGTTACGGCGCGTTACATAGGGGGGTGGGAGGGTCAAAAATCTTCAAAAATTGCGTTACGTAATACTTGAACGGTCCCTAAGTGGAAAGTGCTAATTAATTAAAACTTAAAGAAAAAATGAAGTAGGCATTAACTTTGGCTGTCTTTGTTCCATTTGGTTCTCAGTATATTTACGAAGAATGTATGAGCACAAAAACAAAAGTTGTTATACTAAAAACATAACACACAGTTTGTGAACACTAGGAACAACCATAAGCTGCTACTACCAGTTGCTCGACTCTACAGAGATAGGTATTCATGTATTCGGCAGCGTATTGGCTTTTACAACTAAGTCTCAGAAAATATACAAAGTCCATCTATCAACAAGTTTGATTTTTTATTAAACGAAGACTGCATAAAAATGGTTGTTATAATAAAAATGAACACATGAGTGGTAATCACTCCTGGGGATGGTAAATATGTAGCTTATTTTATGGCAAAAAATTAAAAAATTGTTATAAAAAAGCTTTTATACCTTTAGCAGTATGTTCCTAACAGTTTGATCATTCATTCTCCTAGAAGCAGTATCTTCCTTAATACATTGAGTCAATATACCAACTTCAAGTTCAGCCAACCGCTTTACCTGTAACAATGGGCTCATATTATAGTACTTTAACGAATAAAATAGTATAAAGGCATACACTTCAAACCTGTAGCCTATAAAATAGATAAGCATGAATTGCTGTACAAAAAATTAGTAGAAATATTAAAATAATTTGAGCAAAACTACCTACAACCCCAAAACACATCTTCCACTAAAGCCATATTAAATTATCTGTTTTTTTTTTTTATAGGATCGAGTGACAAACGATCACACAGTCCACTTGATGGTAAGTGGTTGCTATGACCCATAGACATCTACATCTATCCTCGTTTGCGAATCAAAATGCAGATGCGTTGTCACTCGTGATGACTAAGATGGAATGCCTCTTATCCAGTAACAAGGGTCTCCGGTTCTCTACACTCACCATACGAAACACAGCAGTGTTAAGCTACTATTTTACACTGGTATTCAATTAGGCAAGTTAAAAATTAAGATGTATTAATTCCACAGAAGCCTAGAAATGAAATATACCAAACAGATTTTTCTGGCGGTGCTAATACTAAGAGAGTGGTAATATAGTTTTATGCATTTCAAAGTATTGCCCAATCAGAATTGTGAATTTAATAAAAGAGCAATGACTTTCATACATAAAATTTGTTGAGAAGAAATGGTAGCGTCTATATACCAAAAATATCTTAAAATGTTAAGCGTCAGTCCCTTAATAACTCTGTCTAAGAATTTTGTACTGAGAAGGCGTCAAAAAAATGATATTTACATTTGAACCTTTTTAGGTTATGTCCTATATCACTTTGAAAAAGTCATGCTTCCTGTGGTTGTTTGATGTTAGCTTAATACATAATACATAATTGAGAGTTTTTAGATTATTGTATCTGTATTATATATTTGCATACTATAAATGTATATTTCTGGCATGGTCCAGGGCTTTTGTACCATAGTCACATTCTCAGAAGGACTAGAACCCAGAGCCGTAAAGCCAGTAAAAAAACAGTGACATTTTATTTTAGCTAGTGTTGGCATAACATTAAATGGAATTGTTACATAGTACTATGATTGAGATAATGTATTATTGTGGGAAATTCTTTGTAAGAGACTTATTCTCAGCCATATTACTTTTATTTTTGTTATTACTGATAGTACAGTTATTACTAATAATAACTTAAATAAAAATATTTTGTGTGTTGTGTTGGTAGTGTTACAAAGTGTATACGAAAATAGTAGGAATATACTAAATGGCAACATTTGAATAGAGTAAAATGATTTGAGTCATTTGATATTCCCAAAAATGTTTGTTTTTTTCTGTGGCTTTAATTAAAATACATTTTTATTTGAAAAATCATAGAAAAATAATAAAACTTATTTTTTATATAACTTATTTCTAGACGCTATAATTTTTGTCAACTATTTTTCTGCTATTGTTCTTTTGAAACTATTTTTATTTTCAATTAAAACAGTGCTCAGTCTTGATCATATAATTTAACCGATTCGTTGCGGCACCAATTTTCGACAACTTTTAGCTGTGGCGGCGAACAAATATTTCATGATACGCCGGGCGTGTCAAGCGCCACAGACAAAAATGACACGCCTATTGTGCCATCCGCCATGTATAAAAGTAGTGTTCTTTTTTATGCTTTTTTTACTTGTTTAGACCTAATTAAGTTTATTTGATATCAAACATAAGTTACAAATGGAAGGATACTTGTTTTTAGTGAGTAACTACGTGTTTTTTTTTACGCGTTTTATTTGAAATTGAGAGAAAGTGACTTTTTTTATGAAGAGATTACAAACCTTTTGTACTATTTTTTGTTGTTATAAAAAATCATTTATATAAGTAGGTACAGCTAAATCACCCTGGAAACCTTGATTTTTATTAAATTAAATTTTCACCTAATAATAACATTTGTAAATATCAAACAATGAAGAACCTTAATTTGAAAAAAAAATAAGGTATATCATTCATTGATATTTACAAATGTTAAATATTATTTAATGTTATACAAATGTAAAAGTAAAGTCGATCTGAAAACGTCTAATTAGTAAGAATAGCAAAACAAGTGTTTTCAAAAGGAAAAGAACGCCGGCGCTATACGGCGGCGGATTGACAAAAGACTATTTATTAGCGAACTTTTTTTATGCATGAACGGTTTCGAACTGTTTCAAGCAAAAATCTTATACCATATCACAAGAGCACATGGTACTTCGTAGGTCTACTCGGCCATATGATAATTATAAGACGGCAGTTCAACCATTTTAAGCAAAATTAAACAATAAGACAAACGCATTGTTTTTTTTAACAGGAGACTTGTTTTCCAGAAGTGTATTTACAACTTGAGTTTGTAAGCGATCGCAATGAGTGCTATTATTTGTTACTTATTAGACAATTTTTCCATAACATGATTTAAAACCCACAAAGTAAAAATAGTACCATGTACACGTTAAAAAAAGGTTGTCAACCCCTAAAAATTTCAAATTTTCAAAATATCCAGAAACGAAGCTGCATGCATGATGTACTCGCAAAATAATGAATATTTTGTTCTGGATAAATTTTCCAAAAAAGCAATTTGAGCGAGTTATAACGATTTTTAAAAAGACACGACTCGCGTGTCATACGCCACACACAAAAGTAATCGATGGCACGCCTGGCGTGTCACCCGCACTGAACCGGTTAAAAAGCTCTCTTAAGTGGCTAGTTAAAAGCGTACTCAATTATTTTTAATACACTACATTGGTTATGTTTATGATAGATAACAAAAAATAATAAATAATTTTATGAGACAAACATATTATCTGCAGACACAACATTTTCACGTAAAATTTATTAATTATACTTAGAATTACAATTATCTACCCCGAGTTCCTAAACTGTAACTTTTTATGTACATTTATTCAATGTGGTTGTAGCACGAATGAGTCAGCTCTACCGGAGAAGGACCACGCGCTCACAGAATACCAACGTGAAATAGCAACTCAGTGCTACTCTGGTTCGTATAGTGAGTGTAGAGAACCGGAGACCATTTTTTCTAGATGCGCGGCATTCCATATAGTCCTCAGAGGTGACAACGGCATCTGCATGTTGATTTTTAATGGAGGGTAAATGTAGGCCCCAGTATCCACTTAGGTATTATGCGCGAGCGTACTCCTTCCCCGGTCAAGACCACTAATATGTGCCGCAACCAAAATGCAGCGTAAGTGCACCACATAAAAAAAAATTAATGCAAGGATTGAAAAGAAAACTTACTCTATGATAATAATCACGACCCCTTCTTGAGACTACAATAAACAAGAAATTGATATCTCGTTCTAACGCCGTAAACAAAATGTTCAGAAGGTCGTTTATCCGGACATTAAAGTGTGTACATTTTGGTGGCGAGACTCTCATTCCCATTTGATTACCGACACGCATAATCTGAAATTAAATAAACAAGTATAATATAATTACAGTAAGAGGGTAACCAGAGTTTGATCCCCGCCGGCAACAATAAAATAGCAATTATATATTGTGAAGGAAAACATCGTGAGAAACTATTTAAATATTTCGGGGATATATGACGTCCCATAACACACTGTGCAGACGACCAACTACTTCATAGCCCACACAAAAATGAGAGGAGTCCTGTGCCTAGCAGTCATCAACATACATCCTGTATTTAATATTTAGTTTGGCTGGATTGTTAGACGTTAGAATATGAGTAGAGTAATTTTTATTCAATATAGCTGCCAAGAATACTTATTTGCTTTTATGCTTTAACCATATTCAATGTGGAAGTGTTTCGCCGATACGTCCACACCACACGTTCAATACTCATCAGGGTTGCCAAAAGGCTTTCTTACTTTACATCAACGCCTCCTTGTGGGCGTTAGAGACCTAGAGGGAGGCGTTAAGAGGCCCAGAAAAAAATGGGGGGCGTTGGTGTGGTTTAGGGGGGGCTGGTAGTTGATTTGTAATTTCATTTAGATACTTTATATTTTAAAATTTACTAAAATTAAAACCTACCTACAACTCAATATCGAATAATTAGTTTATATTTCTGCTCTATATGATGTATAAACTAGAAATACTTAACATAGATTTCGTAGGATAGCCCGTACGCCGTACGCAATGAAGTTGTAACAAGTTTTTCTTAAATAACGCTATTGGTGCATTCCGGTAGCAATCAGCTGGTTCATCGATACTTCTCTTAACTTGCTAAGTACGATTGACCGTCGAAAGAGATAAACGAGTTTGTGAGTGTTTGTCTTAATCCTGTCGGTGCGTAAAAGTTAAAAGTTAGAGCCAATATGCATCCCACTCCTCGGCACAGGCCTCCCCTCATTTCTGAGAGGGTTTTAAGGCAAGGAAGTGCACGCCGCGCTGCCCCAATGCGTGTTGGCGAACTTCACATGTCTTCGAAATATTATTTTTTCTTACTCCTCAGACACGCAGGTTTCCTCACATGTTTTCCTTCACCGCCGAGCACGTTGTAAATCAGCACTTAAAATTGCAACTAACAATTTCATTGGTGCCGGCGGGGATCAAACCCAGTTAGCTCGCGTACTGTGAAATTTACAGCGAGCGGTGACCATCAGAGCTACGTATCTCAGATGGTTACCGCTGCGTGCTGTGTTTAAATCCTATATAAAAGCTCGTAATAATTTTTTCGTTAGTGGTTTCGCGCGCAATCTTTAAACAAATATTTAAGATCAACACTTTATTTACATATTTGTAAAAACGAAGCCATGTCGAAAGCAAAAAAGAAGAGACGGCAATATAGCGTAGGATATATTAAATATGGATTCATAGAAAATTCGACCAAAACCATCTTTGCCTTTATGCCTTCTGTTTATGCCCAAATTTGGTTATGTTTGAACGCCACCCAATTGCGTTCGAGCTGGCGCGTCACCCAATGGTATGTAGGTGAGATAAGCGCCGAGGTGGGGCGGCCGTGCGCGGATGCGTGGGAGTCAGTCGCTCGACGCGTGGGCGAGGGGTCGGTGCCCCCCCGGCCATGATGCGGGGAGACCGTCAAGCCCTCTTACCTAAATTCACGGGCCCGTCGTGGATCTAGATAGCTAGATGAAGTACGTGCTTCTTCGTCACGTAGATAGGTGAATTGTGCGATATTTATTATTATTTCGTAGCCAAGCTGCTCTTACATAAGAAGAATATCGGCAGACGTGAGTTCCATAATTTTCCCAATGTATCAATATCCTGCAACAACGACGACTTGCTTGTCTACTGCCAACATTTGGAAAATCTCCACAGTGATTTCATTTAAAGTTTCCAGGACATTTTGAAATTGGAAATACCAGACTGGGTGTTAGATCCTTTTTCAAATGTCAACATAGCAGTATCACCCCAACTTGAAGAAAAACTTATAGAACTGACAAAGAACGAAGAAATAAAAATCAAATTTAAAAATGGCTACCAAGAATTTTGGCTACAAAACTCAATTCTGCGGTATCCCCGATTGTGGTCGATCGTTCAACGATTTTTTATAGAATTCCCATCGTCATATTTGTGTGACCGTCGTGACAACGCTGCTTACTAAAAAAAGAAATCGTTTACACGTTACCGAACGCAGCGACTTACAGACTGTTTTTGAGTAAAATCGAACCTGATATCAACAAACTTGTTAAAAATCATCAAATTCATCCATCTCATTAGATTAGTTTTAAAACTAAAATTGATTACCTATCTATATTGTTTATTTTAATTTGATTAAAATATATTCTTAATATTATAAAGTTGCGTTTTAATTGCTCTCACTGGTAATAATGTTTAGAATGTAAGTTTAAACACCAGAACCGACTAATATAGCACTCCATAACTAAATTAAATAAAGTAAATAAATTGCGGTTTTTAAGTTTTAGGAGTGTATAAAAAATTGGGGGCGCTGAAAAATAATTGATTTTCAAAGAGGGCGGCAAAAGAAATAAGTTTAATAATCTCTGCTTTGCATAATCAACCCAAGCAAAAAATTATTTAAAAAAAAAATTTGGCACAATCTTTTTGAGAAATTATATTTATTCGATACTAGACTATAGTTTGCCAAATTTTGGCAATAAGTAATTGAACATAAAACTCCTGCTTTGTTTTCACTCCTTAGTATAATCACGTAAAAAGATGGCACTGACAATTGAATGTTTATAAATCTCGGTGTCGTGGCAGCGTAAGTGATTCCCTATCCCATGTCATCCCGTAAGAAACGACGGTGGAAAACTGAAACAGGAGATGGCCCAAAAGCTTTTACCCAGGTAAAAGCTCATAACTGAATCAAAGTTATAGGTACCATATACAGAATGGGGTCCCACATATATGCAATAAATGAAACCACATACTTGTTATCGCCTTTGCTGACGATGTACAAAAAATGAACATAATCGGCCCAGTAATTAGGTCAAAAAGTAGAGTTTTAATTTTAAGCATATTTGAACCCTCTATAGAATTGGGTCACTAAGTCAATGATTCAATGAACTTGAATCCTTGAACATTAAAAAGCGACGTTGCCACGCAGTGCAAACTATTGGTATTGCGACGTATCGACAGCGGTGTCTTTTGTCGGCGTGGCACGTGGCACGAGGCACGCGGCGTACTTCAAAGGCGACGGCGCAACGGCGCGCGCGCCTTTGTCATAGAGTAGGACACCTGTTATCGACGATTAGCTTCTTTCAAAGGGAGTATGTAATAAACGATAAACAAAAAAAAATGTTTAGCTTTAAACACTTTGGGTATGGTTTTTTTAGAATCATCGTGTTGTTATGATAATTCTAAAAATACTACGACCTAAGTATTAAAGCTAAGCTTTAAAGCTTTTTTTGTTTAAGTGTGTTCTTGTAGATTTAGAGATAATAAATTATTTTAACATGATAAAAAACCCATAAAAACAACCAATTAAAAAGTCATACATACTTAACCGTTTCCCAGGAAGTCACAAATTGGTAGATTCGTAAGTTCAATTGTACAAAAATAAACTTTTTTTTTAAATATCAATAACTTGTCGATTGTTATGAAATTGTGTGTGTAAATAGTGTTTTAAGTAGGTTAATTTTTTACTGTGATATTGAAACTACTTTACTTTTTTTGACCTCACTCCTCTAGACTTTTTTTTATGTGGCTTTATTAAAAATGAAGTGTACTCAAAGATTTTCGAAACCGAAGATGAACTGCGCAATCGTATTGTTGCCGCCTTTAACAAATTAAAAGCCCTGGCTCTGGATCCTGAACGAAATTTTTTGAGCAAGCTTCAGGACAACATTATGCGGCGATGTAACTTGTGCATTCAAGAACGATTTTGAAAATTTTAAAATATAGGGTTTCATTAAATTTTGCTACTAATATGCAATAATATTTATTTCGTTCAGTTCCATTTTCGCGAAATAAAAAAGTGGCGGTAAAATACCTAAACAGTTTAGTGAGTAAGTTTTATTTTCGTAAGTTTTTATTTCGTCGCACATTGTCCAACGAACCATAGGCCGTGCCGACAAACAATAACGCTGCCTGCCGCCAACCGCCATGCCACCCGCGTGCAACGTTGCCACTCTTCCAAGGGGTCAAGGTACGTTGTCTAAACAGAGTGTTTACTTTTACTGAATTTATTTTAATATTTATTTTGTTTGAAAATTTCACTTTTTTATTTTACGGGTTTTAAATTAATATTTAATTTTTCTACACTTCTATGGACTAGTATTACTTGTGGTTTAATTTATTGCATATATGTGGGACCCCATTCTGTATACTTTCAAATGTATTCGGTAAACAGCTGTTATTTTGACATTACAAACAGACACTCCAATTTTATTTATTTGTATAGAGTATAGATTTCTAGTGGCAAATTTAAAATAGAAATGAAATATATTGCAATGACTACTTTCAATGTTACATTTGTGCATTTATTTACTTCTCCTTATTGCAATCACTTTAAGCTGAGCGTTACAAAGGAAAACTTGATGCTTTATGAATTTATGATATTCTGCTATAATCACAGAATAAATAATAGTACAAGAACAGAAGGATCACCCTCTGATAGAAAACTTGCGAGTTTAAAGTTAGTTACTACGTCGCTAATGTTCATAATACTTTGCACGCCTAGGAAGTGACCTTCGTGAAATTAGTCTACCGTTTACATATTCGAAAAAAAAATTATACGGCGCGCGTATTAAATCAAAATGCGAATGCGTCTATGTGCGAGTGTTTGTATCACATAGCCCGTTACGCGCCTTTAAGACCGCTTCTACTGTAGGGTTAGGGTGTTGTGAGAAAACAAATTGAATCCTTTGATATTTGTTGGTATATAGTAGAATACACCGAGGTGTTATACAATGTATTAGTATTTCTTTTACTTGTTTTTATATTGTTAAAAAGAAACTTTACCCCCACACTAGGATTTTGCTCCTGTATCGTGGAGACAGTTAACAAACATAAATTGCACAAGGACAAACATCTAGACCCGGAACAATTATTTGTAGGCCATACAAATACTTGTTCCGTGCGAGATTCGAACCCGCGCCCCAGCGTTGCAACTCATTGCTAAAGCACTGCACCACGGAGCCGTCAATTGTCTGTTTCACATTTTTTGCTATTTACAAACATGCGAAAAACAAATATCAAAAGTGCCTAAATACTGATTAGAGTCATACAAAAATATTTTAATTTCTTAATACTTATGACAGATTAAAACAATTTTTCAGCCAGCACGAGCGGGCGCGTGACAACCTCACGGAAATAGCCCCGCATACAGGGCCGCGCAGCGTAGGTATATTTTCACACCTAAAGCGCGGAGTGAGACAGAGCTACTTTAATTAAGATTTTCTATCGGCAGCTTACAATATCTCTACAATGTTCTCACCATTGTTTGTCGTTTTGAAATTTATGTATGTAAACTGCACGATACATGAGAAAATCCTAGTGTCGTTACGTTTTATGAAAAAAAAATGTTCTCACCATGTCAATAATGCCATTGAAGTTACTTTGTTGAGGGTCGGCTTCAATGGCTATAAAACCCCATGACCCAAGAACCTCTGGTTGCAGGACAGTATTGGATTGCCAGACACCCCTCCTGAAGACAACAAACAAAATAATAACAAACAGCAGTATTATTATTATATCGAATAAAATATATATCACTATGGTTACAGTCCGCGAGGCATAAGCTGAGCTTTGCATTTGTGTGAGTGATCACAAAAAGTAGAGACAGACAAAAAAGTACGTATACATATGTATGTAAAAGTAACTGAGAAGTCTGAGATCAATAAATGAAATTCAAATGTAAAAAAATTATAACAATTCTTCTACATCGGACATTGCATCTTCATCATTTTCATCATCACTCTCGTCTTCATTTTCAGTCTTGTCTGATGTGTCGTTTGTGTTAATAAAGAATCATTCCATCATATAATCAAGAACGGCGTCGTGACCATGAAATCTTTTTTCTTCTTTTATTGCATGGTCACATACATTTTTCCATTCATGTACAGTGATAGTGTCAACTTTTTTTTCGCTAACCTCATTATTGTATCCAAATTCATTGACACGTTTTTTTTTTCGCCACACATCCTTTGATTATATATTTCCAATTGGGTCGAAATCCGGATGGTATGGTGGTAGACGTAGGACAATGTGACCATGTTCTCTAAGTAAAGTGTCAATTTTATATTCAATAAATCTTTGTTTGTTTAGCAGTATCAAATAATAGAGCTGTGTTTTAAGTATATCTTGTTTACGACTATTTGATTTTAAGATGCATTGTCTACCACTACAACGCTATTAGGCTTTCAATTTGGAATTAGTTGCGTTTGTAACTATTTCGTGTAGTTTTCGAAACGTTTTCCTTTGGAAATTGGTTCCCTCGAACCAAAAGTCCAGCCATCTGAATAAGATTTCAAAGAAGTGTGAGATGTGACGTCGGTACAAAGAACTGGCCAGCCCTGAATGCGATATTCGGAAATTTTAATCAAAAAAATTTATACGTAGATATCGTATATCATGTTTTTTCCATTAGAATTTTTCTATTATTTTCTGTCCTTATTCCATTTAAATCCTAAAAGAGACACTTCTTTGCGCAGTGACCAAATTTAACCTGGATAGTTTATTTCTTTCTTCGATGTTTCATATGTATTCGCTTCATAGTTGGCACCTCTTTATCAGTAATGTGAAAATTGTGAATAGTTCTTTGTATTACCGCTTTATCAAAATCGTCAATGATAATGATATTTTTTCTGCATCTGGTCTTCCAAAAGACGTTTACCTTACAATAAAACTCTTAACAGTGGACAGTGGAATTCCCGTTGATGTCGCTACCAACAAGGCTGATGTAGTGACACTTGACTTGTCTTTATCGTTCAAAATATAAGGTAAAATAACCATTTAAATTACACCAAATATCTTTTACTTGGCTATTTCAAGGTTTTTGTATTCTTCGTTTATTTGTGTTGGCAGCCATTTCACTAATAAACCGAACACAAAAACCAAGTCTTAAGAATTAAAAACGTCACGCTGCTACCTGTAAAAAAGGTGAAGTTTGGAAGGTGCGCGGCGGAGTTGCGTCGCGCGAGGGCACACCGCGCTTCAGGCCCGGTGCCGGTAAACGGATAAACCGGTTTAACCCAGCAAAGGACTCGTCGCACTATAGGCCGACGTCACACTAACACTATCTATGTGCACTCTCACAAATGCAAAGCTCAGCTTAGGCCTCGCGGACTGTACCATTTTACATTTTTCAATAAATATTAATACTAAAGAAAAGTTTTCCAAATTCATGCGCTAATAAAAGTGGCTCTTAATTAATTGAAATTTATTTATACACGGAAATAAGAATTTAATAACAATATTAAAATCAAGCCCGCAAATAAAAACTATAACTTTTTTTCACGAATGAAATTTTTCTACTGAATTTGGCCGGCTGGCAGCGAGCTCGAATTCACGACCCGCAACTTACCAATTATACTGAACTCTATTCTGCTAAACTGTAGTGCGGTCGCCACATATGTATATCAAGTATATAAACACACAAACACGTCCGAAAACAAAAACACACACGCAAGCATGCCTGCACGGATGCAAACACGCAAAAGCATGCAGCCACACACACATTAAACATTAAAATAATACCTGGGATCAACTGTTCTTCCTGCCCCAACCATCAATTTTGGAGGCTGCAGTACCTTAGCCTCAACTTGTAAAAATTTTTCAGAGATAGATAAACCAAATTCCTTGAATAATGGACTCCTGGCGTAGTTCATCTACAATAAAAAAATCGATAAGTTAAAAGTAAAAGAAATAAGGAATTTAAAATGAAAATTAAATAATAGCCTCGGAGCGTCTTTGATTTCTGAGACTTTTGGGTTCAGGAAAAGATCACCGAGCACCTCCAGTTCCCATTGACGGCAAATTGTTAAGATGGAGTAGTTAAAAAAATACCCTCAAAATAACAAAAAAATTGTTGACATGCTGGTTACACGACGTTTTTTTTCGAACGAGAATCGAGCTTCAATTGGAACATACAATAAAAATAATGAAAAGTCAGAAACCAGCAACCTGAACAAGATGTAACATTACACATATTTTTCGAATACTCACATCCTTTATAACATCTTCGATCTTCTGCATACGTATATTTGGTGGAGTAGCTGCTTCACGAACCATTTTCGACAACTGCATTTCATTGAGCTGCTTCCTCAGCGCCTGTTATATTTTATTGTATAATGTAAAACGCCTATAAGACCTCTGACAAGAATTATATACGATACAATACATCCATTGGGTAAAAAAATAATTTTTATTTATGAAATTACCTGTCCAGGTACGACTTCCAGTAACTCCATTGGGAAATAAATATTTTTATTTTTCGGGCCCACCCACAAGCAATTGAGGTTAGGAAATTGAAGTCTGTAACAATATATTATAATAAATCCTCATATCACTGTGTCTATGTGTTATAGAAACTTGTGAACGTTTTAAGTAGAATAAAATAATTTTTAGTGAAATATTGGATAAAATTTTCTCTATGTAGTAGAGGTGTAAGTACAGTCGACTTTCGATAATTTGAAACTGAAGGGACCAGAGAAAAATTGCAAATTACCAAGAGTTCAAAATAACAGGAGTTCAGATAACAAAGAGGGAGGGAGGAAAAAATCAAGTAAACAAGAGTTTGATCAAAATTCGTGATTTATTATTTTAAACATAACATAACATAAACATAAACACTCACGCCTGTCACCCAGAGGGGTAGGCAGAGATTATGGACTTCCATTTGGCACGATCCTGACACACCTCTCTCGCTTCCTCCACATCCATATACCTACGCATACGCGCTCGTCGGTTAAAGGTACTCTTGATATGGCCCATTTTTAATATATCGCCAATTTGGTCGATAAACTTTCGCCTAGGGCGACCCTTCCCGACTATGCCGTTCACCTCTGCAACATAGATTTGCTTTGTCACTCTTTCCTCATTCATTCTTTCTACATGGCCAAACCACCGAAGCATTCCTTTCTTAATCCTGGTCACAACATCATCTTGCAAACCACACTCTTCTCTTATTAAACAATTTCTCACTCTGTCATTCAGCTTCATCCCTAACATACTCATAACATTTGCACAATTATTCACAAATGTTCATTTTGAAAAGAAGTCTCTCTCATTTATATAAACAATTTACAGGTCTGTACATGTATATAAACAAACGACGGGTTTGTGCATGATAAACGCTTCAAATTATCGAGAGAAGCCTAGACTTCAAATTATTGCATGTTGGCGGGCAAGATACTACTCTTCCAACTTCAAATTACCGAAGGGACCGATTTATATTGATTTTATTCAATTTATCGAGTATTTTTCAAGGGACTGGTAAAAAATTTTAAATTATCGAGAGATTCAAATTAACGAGTTTCAAATTATCGAGAGTCGACTGTGTATAGTACACTACCCTATGCCCACCATGTACACCATCCTACACTACCCTATGTACACCATCCCGTGGGTGTCGTACCTCGCCTGCCAAGCGCGATAACTATGGCAAATATCGCTATAATTAGAAAATTTATGTAGCAGGCTTCGGCAATAGACTTATGATAGACTGTAACGAATGAATGATTAATGCCAAAATACTCAAACGCTGCTCAATTTTAAAATGCCGTTAAGTTTCGTCATGTCTCTATCACTTTAAGACAAAATTACTGACACCACGAGACTTCACGACATTTTAAAATTAAGTAGCGTTTGAGTATTTGGCCATTTATGAATTGAACGCAAAAAAAGCAAACTGCACCATATATATATACACCCGTTTTTTTTTGTTATAAGAACAATGGAGATATTTAATTAGATATTTGTAACACAAAATTTATAATAAAGTGAAACAACAGAAAGGGTATTATTAATTTTAAAACATTGGATGAATATAAATAAATTGGTCTCAAACAAAATTATTTATTGCCACGCTATTTCTTAAAATTTAGTAAATAATATATAAAAAACAATGAATAACCCAAAATAGCATGTCACTAAGAGTATAATAGAAAACTATAACGCTTGCGTTGGACAATGACGAGTTAGTAAAAACAATTGTTAAGTTCAAGAGAGGTTATAGTTCAGTTTTGCTGGAAAAATAACCCCTTTGTATACGGCATATTTAATACAAAATATGTATATATTAAAAAGGTAAAAAATTAGACAAGTATATGGTCCATTGGGTTATTATAGGGCTGCCATCTCTAAAACCTGCCCCCCAGGACCGGAAGCGTAAGGTCCCCGGATTTTGGAGCTTTCACCCCGGACATTTCAATACTTTTTTCATTAACTTACATCTTGATTAAAATACATTTTACTCCGTAATTGATAGAAGAAAACTTTAATTTAAAGCCTCTTTTGTTGCATGTAATAGTGTGTTTAATCGTTCTTGTGACGCCAAGTGAGTAGTTTTGCTTTATTTTTTAACCTTTTTGGGTATGAAATAAAAGATAAACAAACCCAATATTAGTTACTCAGTTAATAAAATTAAATGAAAACTTGTTTAAGTTTTGATTTTTCCATACAATTAACAATATTTACTTCAGTTTTAAAAGAACTTAAATCTTAAATCAAATTCAGAAAGTTAAGAAAAATATATTGATGGTACCGTCATGTACCATCAATATATTTTTACTAACATAATGTTACGTTCGTCAGAATCTACATCAATTTATCACAAACAGTCACCTGCATGCCTTTAATACTAGAAATAATAAAAAACTAGCACTACATAAATGTAGATTGGCTACGATTATGTGACAAAACTATATGGAAAGACCAGTTTAAAGTAAATAAGAAAAATTGCACAATCAGTTTTTAAAAGAGCAAATCTCGAGTTTCTTGTCTATTCTGAAAGGTGCAGTGAACCTTTGTGAACAGACATAGTGTCAAAAAAACAAAATATTAATGACTTATTTTAGGAACAATTTCTGTTTAATGAAATAAAAATTTATGAATAATTTTGACTTCGACTTTAGAAAGTTGAATTTCGGCGCAGAGGTTCTTTCTATAACGTAAGCAGGGAATAAGAAAGGTATTTAAGAAATTCCCACGGGAACGAAGTCCCAGGCATCAGCTAGTCTACTTATATTTATCGGATGTACCAATAGCTTTCAAAACTCCTTTTTTAGTTAATAAAAAAATATATAATTCAGTGTAATCCTAATATAATATAGCGTAGGCAGCGCGTGCGGTGAAATACCTAACCCATAGCTTTTATTTACATAAATTATGGGAACGGGATCTGATCGAAAACCCGGGTTGCACACGGACTACAATAAAAACCCCGCCCGGACGCTTCCCGGAGGTCTTCCAAACTAGGACAATTCCGGGGAAACCCGGACGGATGACAGCCCAAGGTTAGTAAAAGGCGACGGACGAATATTGAAACAAGAGAATGGCAGCAGCATCATCTTTATAACAAGTAAATTACATATTAAAAAAAATAAAAAAGTATGCAGTTCACACGTGGTAGAAGTGAAACCTTCAGAAAAGCAGATCGTGATAACGGAAAACACATTTTCTCGCAGACTCCTTTAGATATATGTTTGTCTCTTTTTAGTGTCACTTTTCCGTTTCATTGAGTTTCAAATCATAACGTTCCTAAAGAAGTTTTCTCTTCAAAAAATAAATAATAGTTTAAAAAAAACTAAAAATAACACGCGTTTGTAGATAACCAAACTAAAAAGTAGAAAATAATTTTCAATAAGTTTAAAATAAGAAAATAGTGATTTAGCATAAAAATTAATTTTATTGTAAAAAAGGCTCCCTCTCGGGAAAGTTTTGTTATTCTATATGTGCACTTGGCACGAAGACACTGCCGGGTATCAGGGATGGAAAATTCGCTAATCCTGAGGATCTTGACAAGGATAATAGGACAAACTATTTAAATTATTGCATTATCATCAGTCCTTGATAAGTAGTCCTTGAAGTTTCAATACAATCCGACGTTTTGAAGGGGATGAAAATCACATTAAAATATTCTAAATTTTATATAGGTATTAATTTAGGTACGCAACGAGCATCTTGTATTGCACGTCTATTGCGGAATGATGATACTCCAAATCTAAGTAGTCTCTCCTGATAAGACGGTAGTTTGCGACCTATTTCTAGCCTATAACTAAGTATCTTAAGAGCTTTGTTTTGGATCTGTTCTAGACGCTTGGCGTGCACTTCGTAGAATGGAGACCATACAACAGAACCATACTCTTTCAAGAGTACTTCTTATGAAAGCATAGAAGAGATATATAAATGTGGATGTTTTTTTTTAAATGTTTGGTTGTTGTGTTAATAAAACATAATGTTTTGTATGACTCAGAAACAATGTGATCATAATGATCTCTGAAAGTAATTTTTTCATCAAAGTAGAAAGAATTTGACCTTCAAGTAAATATTGTAATATATTAATTGTATGCACATGCCTTGAGATTTATCGCTAAGAGTTCAATGTGGCTTTTAAATACCACACAACACACATTATATTACATTTTCTGGCAACCTAATCAAAGTTTTTGTGTTCCAAAGCGCCCTAAAATTTTACTTTAAAAAAATATAATATATTGATGAAAAAGTTATTGTATTTTAAATAAAACTAGTTTTACGGATTTTATTGCGTAGATCGGACAAAAATTAATAATTTCGACATCAAACACCTCAATCCCCCATGGACCACAGGTGCTCTAAAGTGCTCGAAACGTCGGGTATATAAAATAAGTTAATATACGCGATAAAATACGTAGAACTAGTTTAATTTAAATGTGTAAATATAAGAAATTAATAAGTTATTGTATATTGTTTTACATCGCATGAAGACATGATTCTATTTTTTAGTCCATATTATTTACTACACAATATCGCGACAGATATTGTAGAGCGAGAGGCGTAGTTGTAGGTGCACATAATATGTGCTCGTAAGTATGTGTACTTTAAATAAGTTGAGCATGGTTTCTGCATCACATTATATGTACCTACCTATGCAGCTTCCAGATTTTATATTATGATTGGTCTAAGACCCAGAGGAACACCTATCCGTGTTTTAGTGACATTTTATGTCGGAAAAAGATAGCACAGCGAACGATAATATTTTAAATCAACTAACCTGCATTTCTTCTCTTTCAGGTAATAATCGGCAACAGACATTTTCTGTTGCCGACCATCTGGATGCGTCATAGTAAAGTATAGTTTATTGGGAGGATCCACTACGCCGTTACAAATGAATTCACGTTTTTGACCTCTATTGGACGTGTCGCCGGCAATTACTGCATTAACCTGTAACAAATGTTGCCACAATATTAGAATAGAATTACCTTATAGTGACGACAGGGAGAACTAAAATAGGAGATGGTATCTTCCTGATAACAACTCCAAACTGTGGTTGCCAACCCGCCTACCAAGCGTAGCAAATATGGTAAAGTAACCCCCAACATTTTTATTTGTTTGATTGTGGCACGCGCCCGCCGCGTCCGCCCGCGCCCGCGTACCCACTATGGACACTCAAATGAAGACTATTAGTCCAAGAGGCAGAGCCATAAAGTCTCTGAATTTATTAAGCCTGGTTTTGTCTCAGGTGATTATAATCTTAATTTACAATAAAATGCTACGGTCAATCAAGCGGATATTAGAACAGGTGTCTCTGGTGCGCGGTCAAACATGTCGTGACCACCGACATAATAAAATCAATTTCTTAAGGCTGAAACTTTATGAACTTTTGTTTTTTTTTATATGTAAATCAAAATTATGATAGTCATTCAACGTCCTATGGGGACTCAGCTGGTCCGTTTATTAGGTGTGAATTTTTTTTAGTAACTACTACTGACTATATTATTCAGTCAACCATTCCGTAAAACAACGCCCGTCAGCCAGTGAATAAGAAATGAATTTTATTATATTTATTTATTAATAATATAGTCTGTAGTAAATATTAAACAATTCACGCCTCTCCGTCTATACGAGTACGTCGCGGCGCACCCGCCCTGCGCCCGCGTTGCAGTCTGGCCAAGCACATAATCTAGTTACGCGGTTGAATAGATGTCCTACAAAAATGCCAAACTGTTCAGGTTTTTGTTGCAAAAAAGAGATCTGTCACGTCAAATTTACAAAAAGATGGCGTTACCTTACATATATAACTAATTATTGCTAATTACTTATTTTAAACTTAACAATTACAATAATAACGGTCGTGTTATTTCGGATTTGTTTACCAACACAAGCCCTCATACAATAGGCGGATCGATCAACCGACTGATCTGAGTCTGTATCAGAAATTGTTACTTTATTGATTTAATTGTTGCGTGAGTTTCATAGTGACAGACGATTATTTCTGTGTGTGCAAATTTTTCCCGCAAAAAATGACTGATAGTTTTGTACCGGGAAAAAACGCTATGGCTACTTTCCTCCAGGCCGCCGGTGGCCCGTGTTGCTCTATGCCAAAAAACATATAAAAAATGTTATAGTTTATATTTACCCTCAAACCTTTGATGAAATTATGAAAATTTTCGACCGATCTTTGTTCTCTCCGTTGTTGTTCCAAAGGTTGTCTAGGATCCAAACGAAAATCTCTAGTCAAGGCATCGATCATGCTTTGCTTTTTCGGAAATCCTTTGTGAGCCACTGTAAAATAAAATAAAAAATATTTGAATATGCGGTTTTAGTTTTAGTTTAATTATAACATTAAACTTAAACTAGGTATCATTTCCTAATAAAAGCTCATAAGCACATAACAATAGAAAATACAAAAAAGACGTTTCAAAAAGAGAAATACCTCGCCTCCATAGAATCCATTAAAAGAGAAAAAGAAGAATATCAGAAATAGGCAATTTAAGATAGATCTGCCGTAATTTATTAAACAGTATTTTACCGTGGCCCAAAAAGACGACAAATTAAAATGTACTAATTAAAAAAAAAACGTATTAAATGTTTTGCATTTTCTTTTGTTTATATGCACGCAAATCTACTTATTTTATTGTACAGCAAAGCAAAAAGAATATCTGTGACTAAGGAAAATGATCTCATCTCAGGCACGAACTTTTGAAACATTGTAAATTGTAAGTCATCTCGCTCGCACTTATCGTCTTGCAACGGGCATATATCTGTACTTTTCTAGTCTACGCATAGTACAAGTGTCGTGCGTTTGTATAGCAAATAATATAGGGGCGAGAAGCCAGGATTTCAAGTTAAAAGTTAAGGTTTGCTACTGACGCCGATGACCATTATAAAAAATTAGAAGAGAAACCACTGTATATTTTAAGCGAATTTTCTTTAACATAGTTTTATTGTGCCTTGTGACTGCTTGAACTGTGAATAATTCTTGTAACAAGATGAAGGCAAATTTAAACTTTGGTCGAGTTTAGGTAGTTCAGTTTCAATAATTTCTCTCGCTACTGTATTTAAACAACGATTCTTTACGTGATTATGAAAAAAAATTCCTCATCAGCCTGACTAATTTTGGACATGGGGCTCTTCCATTGTAGGAAATATTTGACATAATCGCCACGCTTGGCAGAAGGAATGCGATCGAAGTACCAGATATCTCGAAACTTTAACACCGCTCTCAATTGTTGGCCTTGATACCGCCATTTATTTATTTTTATAGGATAAAGGAAAAAGGCGAGTACACAGTCCACCTGATGGTGTTTGCTGTGGCCCATAGACATCTATCCTCGTTTGTGAATCAAAATGCAGATGCGTTGTTAGCCGTGAGAAGTAAGATGAAATGCCTCTTTTCCAGTAAAAAAGGGTCTTCGGTTCTCTACACTCACCATACGAAACAGCAACGTTAAGCCGCCATTTCACGCTGGTATTCTGTAAGAGCGTGGTCCTGCTCCGGTCGAGCCGACCCATTCGTGCTACAACTATATCAGTATAATATAGCTGCAGCAAGCCTCTACCACGTAAAAAAATAATTTAGATAAAGCTGTAAATCCAACTAAAAAATCGATATGAATTTCTCTTACGAATCGAATATTGTAGGTGCCGAATTTTCAGTCGGAATGCCTAGTTCAAAAAATATGACAGTTGTCTAATGGTATTTCTTGGATTTGTTTGAGTATAACTACTATTAACGATCCGGCCCGCCTTCGCACGGGTGATTTCTCGATTTTGACAACAGCGCCACCTACCGGGTTTCATTATGAATCGTTTAGATCATCCAGGGCCAAACTTGTTTGAGTTTGGCCCTCACAAAAAATTTCATCAAAATCGGTCCACCCCTTTTTGAGTTTGTGCGAGATTAACGGACAGCAATTTATTTTTATATATAGAGATCTTTTGTAAATTTAATTGTCGACGTTATTTTAAGACATCTTGCAACACATACTCAGTTTATTGATGTTCCACAAAATTGGAAAATTCAGAATACATTTTATTTAATCTTTATTATACCAGTTATACACCGAAATACATGATATATAGAATACAATTTCAAGTATATTTACAGAGCAACCTATGCGACATATAGTTAATTAACACGACGGATGTGGAGAAGTAAAGAATTGAGAAGAGTGAATGAATTGAAAGAGGTAAAGAAACAAGTGCACAGCAGTGACAGTAAAGGGTTTCTTAAAAAAAGAAAGAAGAGTGCACTGAATTCTACTTCAAGAGAGAGAAATATTCACAATTTCCCATTACACAAGACATTTCCCATTTCTTTCTTGAAGATTTATAACAAAAGTATTTAAGAACTGCAATGAAGATATTAAAAATTCAACGAAATATCACATATTACAGACTATTTCTGTAGTAAGAAATATATACTTACCATCTATGTTAATAAACGCAGTGGATGTAAATATAGCAGACTGAAACAATCCGGTCCACATTTCTAATCCATCACCCAAATCTATTGGGCGAGATGGACGTTTGAAAAATTGTCTTCCAGCCTATATTGGAAAAAAAATTGAAATTAATATGTATATATAAATAAGAACTAATAAAATATCCTGTGGAAGTCAGAAGAATATCTAATCGGAAAAGGTTATTACGATCGTTTATTTTAAAAAGTAAAATAAAAATTATACCTTTACATAAGACTCTAGTGTGCCCTGCCGCAAAATCACGTCAATGCATTGTATTGCTTCAGTGGGAGGATTCAATGAACTACCCCCAGAGGTCATAAACCTGAAAACATAAATATTGCATAACACACGCAGGTGCCAAAAATAAAAAATAAAAATATTATATGCTTACTGGTTGATTCTGTCCAAGTCTACAAGTCCAGTATATTTGAAAGATACCTCAAATTTCATAGCTTTCCCGTTGTCATCTAATATCTCCACCTAAATGCACAATATGTAAATATTTTTAACGAAATAATCATATTTACAAAGTATAACAAAAAAAAATACGCGGTAGAGCCATGCTGCAGCTATATTAATTGTATAGTTGTAAGCATGAAGGACCACGCTCTCACAGAATACCAGCGTAAAATGTGTTTCATTTGGTGAGTGTAGTGAGCCGTAGACCCTTTTCACTGGAAAAGAAGTATTCCATCTTAGTAGTAGCTGACAACGCATCTGCATTTTGATTCGCAAACGAGGATAGGATAGATGTAGATGTCTATGGGCCACATCAACCACTAACCATCTGGTGGACTGTGTGTCACACTTATCCTATAAAAAAATTGAGGAAAAGAACCAGCCTTACGAAGAAACCGGTTTCAGCAAAGGCCACAGACCATACCATAAATTATTACCATAGACTACAAACACCGAAGATGAAAGACTACAATCTGCTTATTCTTCTTGCTTATGTAAACTTTTTTTATAGAATAAGGATGACTAACGATCACACAGTCCACCTGACGGTATGGGAATGCTGTGGCTCATAAATATCTGTATCTATCCTTGATTAAGTATTGTAACCCCTGAGGACTAAGATAATATTAGGAATAGTGTCAAGTAAAAAAGACTTCGAAACACAGCAGGTATTCTGGTCGAGTTAACCCGGTTAAGCGAACCTTTTCGTATTATAACCATAATATAGCTTGCAGCATAGCTCTACCACGTAGAAAAACTATGAGAAATCCTATAATTCCGTCAAAATTTGGGCGGTGTTATATAGTTCCTACAGCGGTGACAGACTTACTGTCGGTATATCTAATTGTTAGTGTTTGTACAGTTGTAATTGTACAGTAATATGAGGATAAGTGAGACTTGCTAGTAACAAGTTACGCGTGTTTCAGTGGTCGACTCTAGTAACCCCCTGACTTTATGAAATGACTAGCTAGCCCCGCGTTTCACCCGTGTATATCACGTGTCTGAGGCGCGCGACATGACGTGACATCTAGTTCAAGCATTTTAGATAGCAATGTATTGAAAAAATGGAACACTACTTTTATTTGCGAGCGAATTAAATTTTATCCTCTCTCCCTCTCCATTTCGATTTAGCGTCACTCCCGCACCCCCTCTCCCGCCCCCCGCGCCTCAAAGCTCAGTGTCCAGTTTTCTAGCGGTTTTAAAGAAAACCGTATACGATACATGAAAAGTGTATAGACACGAAATAATTCTTGATAAATTTGCTATAAACCTTTTATACATACAAAAGGGATATCACTTATAGTTTCCGCGCCTTAAAATTGGGAAATTTTTGAGAAAACTAAACATTGAGCAAAAAAATCGATAAATGAAAAAGATGTTCATATTTTGTATTAGATTGCGCGGAAACTATAAGTGATATCGCTTTTGTATGTATAAGAGGTTGATAGCAAATTTATCAATAATAATCATTTCGTACCTCCACACTTCTCATGTATCGTATACGGTTTTCTTTAAAACTGGAAAAAACCACGCATCTGGACGCTTCCTAGGGCGCGGGGGAGGCGTGACGCTCAACCGGGAGGGGGAGGTAGAGTGGATGAAATTTAACTTCGCTCTACAACGTACTTATGCCGATAGATAAAAGTACTCCATTAATTTTGACAATTTTTTTATGGGATAAGGGTGACAAACGAGCAAACTGTCCACCTGATGGTAAGTGGTTACTGCCGCCCATATACATCTATATCTATCCTCGATTACAAATCAAAATGCAGATGCGTTGTCAACCGTGAGGACTAAGATGGAATGCCTCATTTCCAGTAAAAAGGTTCTCCGGTTCTCTACACTCACCATACGAAACACAGCAGCGATAAGCTGCTATTTTACGCTGGTATTCCGTGAGAGCGTGATCCTTCCCCGGTCGAGCCAACCTATTCGTGCTACAACTATACTACTAATATAGCTGCAGCATGGCTCTACCACGTGAAAAGCTCAAACGATAGAACTAACCTCGCTCATAGAAGCATTCAGTGCTGAATTCGCTCTGATCTCATCGGGCGGGTAGGGTTTATGTGTCGTTCGCGCGCCAACCCGAGTTATGAATTATTTTAATTTTACATTATCTCTTAAACTATGTGTCTAAATAACATGATATAAGGAGCAAAGTTTATCTTCATATAATTATCTTGATGATGAAGTAACTTTTGCTGGTAAGGATTAATAACACCATGCCTAATAATAACGCGCATAAATCACTTTTTAATTTATTCAATATGTTTTTGTGACACTTTACCTTATTGTGGCTTATGTATAAGAAATAGGCATATGGTTTCGCACTTTTTTTAGATGGAGTAAAGATCAATATTTTTGTAGAATTTTGATTTACGTATCATTAACTTCATAAATCTGTATGATTCGCGCTTTATCATTTCGGAAGCGCTTTTTCTTCTCACTTGCTTAACAAAAATCAATCAATATTTAAGGCTGGCTGAGATGTGCAGCCTAATTCTAGATAGCCTATACTGTTCTGAAATTAGCGTATTTAAACAAACAAAAAAGCTCTTACGCTTTATTATATTAGTGTAGATACAGGACTACCTTACTTATTACATACTAACTTATATGGTACACAGGAGTTACTTATAACTTAAATTAAAATTTAAAAAACCCCCTAAACAAAAAGGGCTGATGATCTTCAAACGGCTGAACAGATTTTCTTAAATCATAGTTAAAACACTCCCGATCAAGTCACCTTTCCAATAAAAAAAAAAACTAAATCTAAATCAATTCATCCGTCTGGAAGCTAAGATGCCATAGACAGACACACAGATACACACGTCAAACATATAACACCCCTCTGTTTGCGTCGCGTCGGGGTTTAAAAACAAGAGTGTGAGGCTTGTGAATTGGGAAGTGGTTCAGAACTAGCCCGTAATTCGAAAAATTAAACACAATGGAACAGTTCAATGTGCTTGTCTCTCGCCTACGTCACACTACCTAGGTCACGCAGCCAGGTGCACGCCGAGACATCTTCGAGGTTGGACTATCTCTATAGTTATTTGTTCAAAACTTATCCCCAATTAAATACTAATTCCCTCACGAAATTGCGGGGAGAATGGTAACGTTCAAATATAATCTATGATCTAAGCTCACCTCTTTAGCGAAACGCGTATTAGCGTTTACTCCTGGTAACGGATGAATGGCGTAACAATTTTTCATTTGATCGAATGCAAGGGTATGGTTCCGAAAAAGTTCAGCTTTTGCTTTACAGAAGACGCGTGGTATCATTTTTTTTGGTTTATCCGGTTTAAATCCCACGTCGTAACGATGCTAAAACAAATTCCAACCAACAAACTGTAAAAAGTAGCACCACGCAAATATATATATATATATATATATATATATATATATATATATATATATATATATATATATATATATATATGTCGGAGTGTCTATAAAATACCGGGTTGGATCGAGGTAGAATGGAGGGTATATCGAAAAACCCCCTCTTGTGTCGGTAGTATAAAGTTCACTGTAGGTGCCGTGTGCGGGAGATTCCGCCTAAGTCGTTCAACGAGTGTGGTCATTCTACTAGTGCTAATATAGTGTCGTGGTTCTGTTCGTTGTTGTAATTCTTCTAGTGCAGGCAAGGAGAATTGCTGTTGCTGAGAGGCTGCCCAGTGTTACATTGAGATAAGTAGTGTTGCTGTTGGTTTACATATTTTGGTGTTATCATGTAATTACGTACCTCACGTTACACTGGTGTGTGATTGTGGCAGAGACGTGTTACGGTGTGGTCCAACTGTAATTTCACTATACTGAATGTATAGTGCGTTACGTTGTCTTATTACTGATAATGATTAAACTGCGTAAGCAAGAGAGCAAGTTGAACATCCGCTCTCACACTTTTATTATTTTTAACAATTAACGCTTATCCTGATGTATTTCCAAGATCAAAATTGGAATCCCCTCTATTGTCATTTCCGATATCAGAAGTGGGATCTCCTGTTGTCATTTCCGATATATATATAACAGAATTTAATATTACCACTGTTGGATGAAGATTTCTATATAAATATTTTAGAAGATTTAGAAGAAACACACATATTATTAGATATCAAATATGTCTGCTTACGATTTTTTTGAATTGAAGCGTCATTGGTAGATAATTTGTCAATACAACAATATTTCTAACAGGAACACTTGGGCGGCGTATGGCTACTGGCATTTTATTTAATGACAAAGTCGGCGACGTCCTGTCATCTTCTTTACTGGGTGGTCGTGCGGAAGCTGGCTGTGGTGTCATAGCGACTGGAGCATGGGTAGCTTGTGGAATTACATCTCTTTGACCTGGACCGCGACCGGGACCGGGACCGGGACCAGGACCGTGACCGCGACCGCGACCACCGCTGGATTGTTGTGGAGCTGCTGGTGTTAGTGGAGCTGCAGCGCCCACTTGTGCCTGTGCACCTAAAACGGTGGCCTGTGTAAATTGATCTCCAGAGCCTCGCGGTGGCGGTCCCCAAGGCATTGAAGGTTTTTGTTCACAAGCTGGCTGCGGTGGTAGTCCGCGACCCCAGCCTTGTGACTGTGGCATACCTTCTTGACGTTGGTGGTGGGAACCTACAACGGGGGCCTTTGCAAAAGGAGCTACAGTTCCGCGACCGCGACCGCGACCGCGATCGAAACCGCCGCTGGATTGTTCCTGTGGACCAGGTGCGTGTTGGTGATGTGAAGGCCCTCCTTTGCCATGAGATGGCTCACTACTGATCCCTGTAGGAGAAGCCATTTGACTTAAATCTCGTGTTTCAAGTGGAACAACAGCGGGCTGAGGGTGTGCCGGCTTGGAATCATCCGGCGCCTGTATATCTGCTGAACTTGATGTTTTCGCAACTGTAGCGGGTTCCTTTTTCTTACGAGGTCTTCGTTTTTTTGAACCACCGTCTAAGCCTAAGCCTAAGTTTTCTTCTTCAGGTTCTACGGCTGTAGGTTGAGTCGAAGCTGGGGGTTGCGTAACCGGCTGAGCTTGAGAAGTACTAGGTTCCTCGCTGATTCTCAAAGAACTCAAGGGAGGCACTTGCTCCTCCTTTTTCTCGCTTTTTTTCTTTCCTACGAAATACATTAGGATGATTAGAAACAATTCATTTGACATCGGTACATTTACAGTAAGGCAATGGCAACAGATTATGTTTTTCGATTTACCCCTTTATTTCTCTAAATAAAGCACTACATTTTTTTATATTCGGTGTTTTTGAAAAAAAAATAATTTTAATTTTTGATGAAGCAATCAACCATTTATCTACCACACTAACACGACGACCATTGACCGCATCTCTATTCGGATATCGCGTCAAATGCTATAACAACATCGATATATTCGTGTATGTACATGTCATATTTGACAGTAGAGATGGTAATAATGTTTTTTTTTTTAATAATTAAAAATAAAAAATAAACTATTATGTAATTTAAACGGTTAAAATATTAATTTTTTTTATTAAATAAAACTATATTTACGGATTTATCGCGTTTAATTTACTTATTTTAATTCCCGACGTTTCGGGTGCTTCACAGCATCTATGGTCATGGGGAAATCCTTAAATATAGTTTTATTCAATGTGTAATATTCACGTAAATATAAGAAATCATATATTTTTTTAATTCAAACACTAAGATATCAAGTTGTCGAGAGATATTTTCAACGAGTTGAATGATTTCTTTTCTTCAATTAATAGGCCGATGCTAGTTGTCTGCAAATCTGAAGACTAAATTATTTTATTCATCCGCTTATGAACAACATGTATTACCTCACTTTTGCTAATCATACGATAATCGTATAAATAAAAACTACTTATTCGTCCGATAGTGACCGAAAACGAGATTGTACAACCAGTGCGTGTTTCCAGATATGACTTATGGATCTGAGACGTGGTCCTTCACTGCTGACCGTATGAGGAAGCTCAAGGTCACTCAATGAACTATGGAGATGACTATGCTCTGGGTTTCTCTGTATGATAAACTTAGAAATGAGGATATCCGCAGTAGTACCAGAGTTAACGACGTAGTAAGCGGAAGTGGCAAAGGGCCGGCCATATAGCTCGAAGAACCGACAACCGATGGGGAAGAAAGGTTCTCGAGTGGCGGCCTCGTACCGGCAGGCGAAGTGTAGGGCGTTCCCGCACTAGATGGAGTAATGACCTGGTAAGACATGTATGAGAAGTCAATGGATGCAGGTGGCTCGGCACCGTGCTTTGTGGCGTTTCTTGGGGGAGTCCTATCTTCAGCAGTGGACTTGTAAATGGCTGTAATGATGATGATGAAACAGTTGCAAGAAGTGTTTTTTTCAATAGTGTGTATATCAAGGCAAAAAAATATATTAATAGATATACAAATAATATAAAAATATAATGAATTATTATTTAATTTCGACCACTAGGCTACCAAGGGTAAATATTTACAATGTATAATGTAAATAAGTTAATATGTATAATGTATAAAAACTTCTTTCAGTTAAATGTAAAGTAAAATAAAGTGGCAGCCTATGTACATCCTATTGCTAAGCACAGGCCTCTTCTACCTGCTGAGAGGGCTATTGACCAATTAGTCCTCCCCGCTGCTCCACAGTGCGTGTTGAGGGACTTCTTATATCCTCAAATTATTTTATTTCTCGGACATGCAGGTTTCCTCGTGATGTCTTCCTTCACCGCCAAGCACGTGGAAACCAGCACTTAAAATTACAATTTTCATTAGTGTCAAGCGGGGATCGAACGTCGGTTGCTCGCATACCGTAAATTCTACAACGAGCGCTTAGCCGCTAACTAACACTAAACAATGTAAAATAAAATTTATTGACATACCTCTTCCCATTTTCAATTCGATTTCTGAAACAAAAATAAAGAATTAGAAAACCTCTAAGAATTCGTAGTGTATCGTAAAAGCGTTTTACATATCCATATAAAATACACATGGACAAATATCCAACATCAGAATATTTATTTGTACACAAATACTTGTTCCGTACGGGACTTGTCCGCATACGTAATATCGTCGATATTACTGATCAAAAATGAAGAAAGATATTATTTCTACATAGTATAAAACAAAGTCGCTTCCCTAGATCTCTTAATGCGGTTTTTATCAATAGACGGTATGATTCAAGGCGAAGCTTATATTATGGGAAGGGTATATTATGTATAATACATGCATATTATATAATTCTTCTGTCAGTGTGTTTGTGAATGAACTCCTCCTAAACGGCTGGACCGAATTTTATGAAATTTTGTGTGTGTGATCATCAACTTATGATTAGAATGGTTTAGATTCACAATTGGACCCGGTAGGTGTTGTTGACGAGATCCAGAAATCAACCATGCGAAGCCGGGGCGGATCGCTTAGTTTATAAATAATTGCATTGTTAGCAATCAGGCAAACGACCGTAATAAATATAACGTATAACGTAAGAAATAAATTAGACAGCGATTTAATTTAGGTCCGTCGGCTTCGAAAAGATTCGAGAAATATTTACTAAAAACATTTAACTATCGTTGACTTATTTCAACTTATACAGAGGCATATATTATTAGCGACGGAACTGCGATCAGCATTTAGCAATCCTACTCAAGTTTTGCACACATCACGATTTTCATTTCAGATATGAAAAGCGCGGAATTTTGAAATTTGTATTTGTTACTTTGTATAAAGTATATCATCATTCATTAGAAACTGCCACGAGGCCGTAGCGATAACGTTAACATAGAGATTTCACTACATTAATAGAACATCTTCGTAGCATATTAAAAATTTATTAAAGATATATACGTAGTCATAAATTTCAGGAGGCCTATTCGCGAACTATGTACATGTAGCAGCCAACTAGCTTAATCAGTCCTTCAGTTAACAGCCTAGCCATTTTACTAAAGGGCGCCGTTCAACTAGCGGTCCGAATGATATTCTGTCCACACATCTAATTACAACATTGCAACTATCTTGTAATGTCAGCGACAGTAGGTTAAAGTACGGCATCTTTTCTTTAAGAGCTACTACGGCTCATAAAAATATGATCCAAAAACCTCTGCCTAATCCGGTTTGCCGGGCCTTTCTTTTTTGAAAATTCTCACGGGCCATTATGTTAGAAGGCTTTTTCACTTCAGTTTGAAAATTCAAGAACAGTGAATTCAAGATTATGGTTTAAACAAGATGGGGCCATCAACCACACATCATGACTTCATTGTGTATCGTGATTGTGAAATAAATATTCCCAAACAGACTGATTTCAAGAAGAGGTGATATTCGTTGGCCCCCATGCAGTCCACCATTTTAATATAATAAATCTAAAACAATCCGAGTAATATTGATCAGCTCAGAGTGAATAATCGGATTATCGGAATGAGATGGCTGCAATCACACCAACATTATTGAAGAAAGTTTTTAGAAATCTCCACTCGTGTTTGGAGAAGTTCCGCCACAGAGGGGGCCATCATTCTTCATCTTAATATAACCTAAATAAGATAAAAAAGAACATAATTTAAATTTCAGATATTGTTAATTTTAAAAAATAAACTATATAATTATTATAAATTTATATTAACTGTTCGTTTCATATTTTTTTATTGATATGTTTTAAAATATACACGTTTTATTGCACCACATGTTTACAGACTTTTTTGTAAGTGTGGGCCCAACGGCCATCCCAGTCACACTTTAACCTACTGTATTACGAAATATGAGCCTGAATATCATTCAAGTATATATATATATATATATATATATATATATATATATATATATATATCAACACAATATACAATCAATTATCGAATTTGCATTTTTTACCAGTCTTTAAAATAATAATATCAGTTAATGTGATTACTTTTTCTACACAATTACAAATTAATTTAATTTCCATATTTAGTTTCTAAATGTTTATTATTCATAACATTCAAAATCGTGATTGTTTTTTTAAACCAACACTTTTTTTAAATGCCTCAATATTTATATTTTGCCATTGATATAACACATATTTAGTGTTTGCCTTAGTGTTTACATGTACCTGGCCACTATACTATTTATTATCTGTATAGACTCTTGATTTTAGAAGGGTCTATGCTAGTCTAACACAAAGTTGACTACGATAGATTAATATTTTTTCTTGCTGGTTTTTTATTTCATGTACAATGACTGGTTTTCAATGGCTCCTCTATATGTCTAAGTAAGGAATTATTTCATTACCTTGACTCAAAATTTAATTTTTTTTTTTAAGACCAACTCTTTATTGACAATATTTAAATTATTTCAATTTTATTTGTCAGCTTTATGTGTTTTCGATTTGGCTATATGCATGTTGGTTAATATGCAAATGTTTTCTCATTAACACTTTTGCTCTCAGCTCTCTTTTGCATAGTCTTATAGTCTTTCTATTGCTCTTAGAAGGAGAAATGTAAATTCGATGGTCCTAAATAATCTGGCGTCCATGTAGTCAACTTTACGAATCCTAGCAATAAATGTTAGGTACTTTTACCTCCCTCAAACCCCTCTTAACTTGGTAAACCCTTTAACTTGTAACATATTTTGACACAAAACACACTCATAATAGCCAGTTTTTTTATGAATGAAACACCTGCAGAAGCATGGGGAATATTTCATCTGGACCAGCCACTTGGAAAGGTTTAAAACTATGAATGTATCACATGAGCTTTTTCTCTGTCACTAGGGTGGATGCCCCTATTACCAGCCTTTTAGTGCCAATTTCAACTTTAAAAATTCCTGCTATTTTAATTAGGGCACAATATTTTTAAGCATTTGTTTTAATCGATAGGTGATATGGACAAATGTAATGAACATTTATTTACAATCATATCGACGGTGGAAAGGAAAAACCCTTGAAGCGACAATTTTGGAATTGTACAGGAGAGTCTATCAAAGTTTATACTTTCCGAAAAAAAAAATTAAAATTTGAAGTTAGAGCGACAGAATAAAAAACAGTTTCTTTATTTTTTATTTACTGTCTACTATTAAACTTAGAAAAATATACCAGCATGATGAAAGGATTTATGCGTCGCTTAATTATTTTTTGGCAAATATAGCGGAAGGAAAAACACATTAAATGCAAATTCAATACTTTGA